TCCTGTTGGTGACACTCGGAATATACGGCAGATATGCGTGGGAGGTGAAGGGTCGTTGTTCGGTATCCCGTGATCTCGATGGTCTTGAGTTCATTGATCTTTCGATCTCCCTCTTGTTGTAGCCATTTCGCTGGAACGTAGTTTTTAGGTGTTCAAATTCCATCTGGAGGTTCTCCGGTTCGCAAATCCTTCGGGCTCGTTCTGTCAGGGTTCTGATAACCCCATACTTTTGACTTGGGTGATGGTTGGATAGAGCATGCAGGTATCTGTCCGTATGGGTTGGTTTTCTGTAAACTGTGTGGCCCAGCTTGTTACCTCGCTTCCTCACTAGTACGTCCAAGAATGCAAGTTGTTGGTCATTTTCAGTCTCCATAGTAAACTGGATGCTGGGATGTTGACTGTTGAGATGCTGCAGAAAGTTGTTGAGCTTGTCCATACCATGTTTCCAAATCATGAAGGTGTCATCCACGCACCGGAACCACTTTGCTGGCTTGTACTCTGAGGTCTCGATCGCTTTTTCCTCAAAATAAATAAGTTGGCTATAACCGGGTTTAATGGGCTTCCCATTGCCACTCCATCCACCTGTTCGTAGAAGTTTCCCTTAAACACAAAATAGCTACCGGTCAGACAGACTTCAAAAAGTCAGCAAATATCGACAGGAAATATCCAGTTCACCATGTCCAAGCAACTCTTCAGAGGTACTTTGGTAAACAGTGAGACGACGTCGAAGCTCACAAAGATGTCGTTTTGTTCAATATTGATATCTTGAATCTTGCGCATGAAGTCGGTGGAGTCCTTGATGTAACTGGTGCCGTGTCCTATGTGTGGTTGGAGCAGCGATGCCAAGTGTTTAACCAAGTAATACGTTGGTGATCCGGGTGCGCTAACTATTGGTCTTAACGGGACATCTTGAGAGTCGAGTTGAGTTTCTCTAAAAGCAAATTGAATTTTGTAAAATCCCACAAGTCGATATTGAATTTATCGATAGCTGCAAGATTCTCTGAAAATGTTGAAAGCAATCTCCTCAGTTCGACAACCGAGTCACTCTTCATAGTCCGAGCCCGTAAGATCGACAGCCAATAATCGGTTAACATCAATCGATCTTTTAATAACGCTTCACGAGAGCATTGTAAGCTATACTACCAATACGACCAAATAAGACAATAAAAATTGAAATTTTTCAATGTTTGAAAGGGAAGAATTATTATGGATTAAGGTGTTAAACATATCAAAAAATGTAGGCCAATTTTTCAAGTCACCATCAAATTTCGGAATGGCAATACGGGGGAGTCGGAGATTACTATTTCTTTGCGAGTCTCGACTAACTACGATGGTGCCGGTGAGCCTTAGGTTCCACTTTCTCAAATAATCGCTTGGCAATAGATCGAATTGAATAATGCAATTGATGAAAGTGATCTTGAACCGCAAACTGTCGATCTCTTTCCGAATCATTCGCTAAGGAGATTACTTCCAATTGCAAGGACTCAAAAGTGCTAGCTAAACTTGACATCCATAAAATTGCATAAAATTTCATCATCATCGGGTTCAACGCGAGCTTTCTCACCCGCTAACAATATATCGTTAAAGCGTCTAAGTGTTAAATCCCGCTTAGCACTAAATGTATCCATTTCCGACATTCTAAATCGTTTTGTAAACAAATGCACACAATTCAATTCAATTATGCGTTTCACAAAAAAATGTTGGGCACGACTGCTAGGATCATTCGCCCATTGCCGACTTCCGTCGAGGATTTTCGCTTCTGGTCATTGACCACCACGTACAAAGAAGAAGAATAACCAATAATTTGCTCAGCTAGCAAAAAACGATTCTGACCGATACCAAAAAAAATCGGCTTCCCCCCGCTTCCACCGCGGACCATCCGGGCCCATCCGGCCTCCATACCGGCGTGAACAGGGAAAAACGACGGGGCCGACGACGATTATCACTTTAAAACATGCACTGAACACTAAAAACACTAAGTCCACACAGTGGAAACCGATATCAAACTTTTGAGGACGAATACAAGGGATTCTGTCGGGAGCAAACGGAGGTTAAACCGCCGCGTGCAATGCTCCACCACAGAATCAACAAATGCACACCTAAGTCTCGAAATCGTTTTGAACAAAATTCTTCTTTCCAAAAGCTACAGAGTACCCGCTGTAAATTAAAAGGAAGAAGAATTTGAGCACCCAGAAAATAAGTTTAGAACGAATCAAATAAAGAAGACGGCCGCAATTCGAATCGACGGTAAACGCTTTTTCTGAGACCGCTTTTTTGCGCTCCAAACTTTACACGTTTTTTGCTAACCTGTTCACGATAGCGAACATTAAATTACTAAAGTTTGTGAATGACTCTAAAAATCCAAAAGACTGATTCTAATCCTGGGAGAAGGAGCAATATGTGAAGGGTTGGGGGAAGGTGGTTGTAAATCACCCTCAAAACTTAAACGGGAAAGAGCGGCAAGAAAACGGTAGGACATACAACACCCGAAACGATTAATCACCCACCTTGATGGTTTCCCGCGTCGTCGTCTGCCCGGCTGGGTCTCCTTAGGGGTATTTTCTGAAGCATTGGGGGGTGGTAAGGAACAGAGGGCGGGGTTTTCGCGAACCGGTCACGGAAGAGAGCTTGTTTTTTCGTGGATCGCACTACAGACCCTCACGCAAGTCTGTCTTTTCTCGAGGCTTAACCAAGGTTGGGTATGGTGGGGGTGTTGTATACTCAACTCAAAGGAAAAAAATTATAAAGTTACCAAAAAATGTTATTCAACCCTTAACCAGATACATTGTAAGTTAATTAAAATATGTTTATTTATTTCGCGCATTTCTAATATTTCCCCGATTAGCAAATTTAAACATATCGGATGTCAATACTTTGTAAATGTCAATAAATCATACATTTTATCGAAGCGTGTTTATTTAATAAGTTTAATTGAATTCTCTTATCGTCGCCGCCGCGAAATAAACGAGTCGTCGTCGGCTATCCCATGTAAGCCGAGTTAGGCTATAGGAACAGCGCGTCGGCGGCGCTTATCCGAAGATTCGAAATTCAAATCCCGACCGCGACACCGGTCGGTTTTTTCTCCTCTCAAAAATACGCCCATTTATTTCCCTCGTAGTGCCAAAAAGGCACTACTAAATTTATTTTTCTAACAAACCCCTTTTTTACCGGGAGTGAGTTTACCAAAGAGGCACTAACGCAAAAACTACACCTAGCAGGGCCGGAATTGCCTTAAAGGCACTAACGCGAAAACTACCCCTCAAGCGGGGTTGGAACCGCCAAAAAGGCACTAACGCGAAAACTAACCGTCTAGCGGGGTCGGAATTGCCAAAAAGGCACTAACGCGAAAACTAACCCCCTAGCGGGGTCGGAATTGCCAAAAGGCACTAACGCGAAAAATTAACTCTCTAACGAGGTCGGCGTGCCGAAAGGCACTGTGACGTCATAAAAATAACGATGGGTGCGAATACACACCTACACCTCACGTTCGACACAGGTAAGGTGACATTACACCTGTAATTAGCGACAGGGGTCACCTACACCTAACGGTTACCACAGGTCAGGTGACATTACACCTACACCTGTAATTAGCGACAGGTGAGACACCTTACTTTTTCAGCTGCTACGACCCCTTCTGGAGGGATGATGGTCACCTAGATATCATCCCCGGTCACAGTTAAGTGTGTAGATAACTACTGATATTCTAAAAGGCAAACCTATTGGTGCAATTGCCGAGATAAAAGAAGAAAAATTAAATCTCTACCGCAAGCACAAGGAGAATGGTTTGAGGCTTTTAAAGATGACAAAAAAAAGTGGTAGTTTGCGAAGAAAATATCCAGCAGCTCGAAACTCAGATAGCAGTTGTTCAGGCCGATCTTTTAGTACTGCGCTTACGTGCCGAAGAATACACAGTAAAAAGCGGATATTTTCAAAATTTTGGTCTAGCAGATATTGTATAAAATTGTAAAAAATATTCAGTAACTGTAATGTGATAAAAAAATAAAATCCCAACAATATATTTCCAGTCATTTTATTTCAAATATTTGAGAGGACGCTTTTGGTCAGATCTAAATTATGTCTAAAAATAACTGCGGAACAGCTCTCGAACATGTTCAAAACGTCTAAAAGGTTTCGACAGATCCGAAACAGATATGACCCAGTAATGATAAGCATTTCCGGAGAAAATCTTAATTAACCGGAAGGAAGGAACGTACTCGAAAGTTTGCATTATTTTAACTTCGTTATCGGAGAAGGAAATAACGTTATTAACATGTGACCACCGCCACAGTCAGTCTTCATTCTTTGGATTTTTTTGTTTTCACCGCATAAAAATAGTAAGTGTTAAGTGATACTAGAACAGTTCGGGAGTGAGAGGCAAAAAAATAATGTTCGCCTGCGAATATTGCAACCGCTAGTTCAGCCGAAAAGACCAGCTCGCGAGGCACGGGCATTGTGACGTATGCGGTGGGATATACGACGTCATCAACGCGAGAAATATGAGGTGTCCAATGGAGGAGACCCCGTATCATCCGCTCACCGAGGGACCTGTTTTGGCATGGGCAGGATTTGGAGTCTTCTGATCGATCCGGACTCAGTGCACGGTATTGGGCTAAAGGAGTTGTTGACCTATAGAAGGATCGGTATTCTGGACGCCTTCTAGCGCGGTCTGAGGGCACAACGGACCCATGTGGTTTCCTAAGTGCTAGGACGCAGGGGTGCCACCCTTTAAGACCAATACCAAAGACCCGAAAAGACCCGCCGCCGTCCCTATTGCTGCTGACGAAGCCAAGCGCCCGAGACCTTACCTACCGGAAGGTAAAATTTTTTACATTTTCTTTACGAGACAGGTATTGGTCGACAACATCGAAAAAAGGTATTTTTAAAACTCCGATTTTTAGATTCGTTTCGAGTCATGGCGTCCAGCTTGGACAAATTGAGTCGAAATTTAAACGATAGAATTTCAACTTATTCGACAGAAGGGCGTCTTTCCCTATACATACCTCATTAGATTTCTTCAATGCTTTAGATTTTTTCAGCTATGTACGTCTTAGTCAATAAAATGTACTATGCCTATTGCTTATTTTTTCCGCCCCTCTGAATATATGAGCAGATACCAATAAAGGCGAGCTTTCCTCTTATCAGTTTAACGGATGTGCCTGCAGACAATACTTCCTCGCATATTGCTCGCGTAAGCGGCGTATTTGCGACGTGCCGTAAATAAACTATAGTTTCTATCTTAAAAAATTATTGACGTTTGCGGGTTATCTTTAATAATTTAATTATATGCGACCTGGACGACCCAATTGTCTCGCTGCGAACAAAAACAAACAGCGAGAGAGATATTTATATAGATTATGCGCGGCCACGGTGACATAATAGTCTCGCTCCGCGTAACATCGTCGGTCAGGCTCGCCTCCCGCGAGTACCTTGCTCTCCTCAGTAAGACCAGGCACTTGTAATTTTTGCAACGCCGACGGTGTCTAAAAAAACAATTTTATCAAAAAATTGCATGTTTCACACTTTTGTGTCGCGTCAGAAATATGTGGAATATGAAGTTAATTTTGCCATCTTTAATAAGATTAGGCTGCTTTTCTTTCTATAAGTATAATAATTTTTATATTAACTTTAAGAATTTTATTTTTGTTTATCGTATGTGATGGGTTTTTACAAATTTACTTACATTTTTGTTGAACTTAAAATAATTAACTACAGAGGCTAAAAACTTCTATAAGTTCATTACTACCCATCACCGTGTTCGAATAATTATTAAAAATTACAATTTTTGAAATTATTACCTTAAATTACTTTACCAACATATTCCGATGTTTAAAAATTTTTACTGTTTAAAGTTAGAGTTTAAAGTTAGTATAAACATCTGCTGTACTGTTTTCCGAAATTAAATTCTCTACTTTCCTACAATCCTTTCCTAACTTTTTCCTTTATAAAATGGATATTTTGTTTTGGTTTTTGCTAAATATTTTACAATTCTATTTAAATTTAGTATGGCCTGATTATATGGTATGTTTTGTTTGGTAAATAGATCATGCTTTCCACAGCATCACAGTTTCTTTTGTTATGACCTACCTGTTTTTCTTCGTAGGTATTGTAACTGGTTTGATCTTTTCCATACTAAATTGTTTCAAGACAATTTTGGTATATGTCATGTTATTGTCTATAACATTTTAAAATAACATACGCTGAATATACGTTTTTTTAACACCTTTATTTCCGTGACCTTCTACTACCACGGCTACCATAGAACAGAGTCCCGCGCGAACCATGGAATTTCCCTGGTAGCATCGGTTGCCTGATGGCACAGTATAACTTTCTTGATCTAGTTTTACCAAGATTTGAAAATGCGTAAAAATAAACAAATTAATTTTTTTTTCAATTTTTTAGTTTTACTACGTTTACAACTCTACTCTCGTACGGAAGTGGAAGCGAATATTTATGCTGGAAACGAAAATTACGACTCCGAAGAAAAGGCAGTAGGAAGAAACAGGTCCTTAAAATTAGGGACCGAAATCTCCAAACCTGAGGTTCACAAAGTATACCCCTCCCTTTGTACGAGGGATAAATTTGATGCAGGAAGGAATAGGAAGGCCCAGACATTGGCCACATACAATAAAATCTAAATCCTAACCGTCGTACGGGAGTCTAAGCAAATATTTCTGCTGGAAACAAAAATTATCCACTTGATAGATATTATCCTCGATAAGTGAAAGTGTGTAAATTTCAATTAATGTAGGAAAAAATATTTTCAGTTTTTTAGTTTCCCTCAATAGCAACTCTTGTACGGGAGTGCAAACAAATATTTTTTTGATAGATAGTAGAAAGGAAGAAAGGTTCTTATATTTTGATATATAGGGAGGTGAAAAATAGTTTATATGTTAAGGTTTGTTTTAAAAATTTCCGCGGCCACTGATCATTCGGCGCTTTCCGTATTTTGGCTTCAACCGTTTTAAATTAACTTTTATATAAAAATTAAAAAACAATTTTATTATGTGAATTATATATTCAAGGCCCATAAAAGCCACTTGGGTAAAAATAAATATAAAGTTAGTTTTCTTTGGTAAAAATTATAAAATATAAACGAAATAAACATAGAGACCCAGTTACGTAATTGTGAAGATATTTAAAAAAAAAATTATAATGCCAAATTCAACTATTAAGCAAATATTAAATTATATTTGAAACACATCACATTTGACTGTAATCCCTTCCGCTCTCTTCTGCAAACACACTTTCTGCCGACAAACTTATCTTTCCTAAAAAAACATATAGACAATTCAATTAGAATTTCAAACTGGACTTCTTATTTTTTTATGTTCTGGCACTTTTCCGTTATAAATTTTATGACAAAATATTTTTACATCTATACCATATACTAATACGAAATAACACTTAATATTCATAATTTGACACTTTTATTACGCTGCTATTTCTCCATCCTATGAGGAATATGCGTTATGTCCTGGACATTGCTTCAATTACTTATCAGCTTTGTTGCAAGCGCACGGAGATTGCATCAAAAGAAAATTTAAAAGTGTTTCTCAAACAATTGGGACTTGCACTTTATTAAATATCAAAAGTCTTTAACCAGTTCTATAGATATTTTTACAACTTTCTTGGTAGAATAAGTTTTTGTAATCATTAACGTAAACTTGGTTTGAGAAAAAAGTATGTTTAAACAGAAAGAATAGAGAACTCCTACACTTCAAGGTTCCTAGACTACTACTACCACACTTATACTAATACTGTTTACATATGGGAAATTAACTAAAATGCTCATGACTAGTGCCCAGAAATGTATATGTCTAGAATTGACTTTTTTTGTATTTTGAATTAATATATTAATATTTTCACTTAACTAATTTTCATTTTGTTTAACTACACAATAATAAGAGGTGTCGACAAACAACCTTTATAACACAGAAACAATGGAAATCAATAACACTCTTAGAAGTCATTTTTTTAATAAGATGGTCCCCTATGTTGCTAATTATAACCATAGAGTAACAGCAGGTACAGTAGTTAAACTTACGAGTTTAATATAGAGTAAATTTGTTGAAACTAAACAAGTAAAGACAAAAACAATTTACTCACCCAGTATTTTCTTTAACCATTCTCCAATTAAAATTTATCTTACATTTGCCCTTGTGACTAGTGTGTGGTTGACTAAGAAATATATTTACAAAAAAGCATATAATAAAAAAAGGACTTACACTTCACTAATCCCTCCAAATCTCTTTTCATGAACATCTCTTCTACAAGTACAACTTTTGCTGACAAACTTACTTTTCCTAAAAAGAAAAGTAGAAAAAAAGGATATAAGAAATGCAAACTCAATTTCAAAACAAAATTCTTACTTTTTTATATGTTTCTCTGGTATGTTTCCTTTAAAAATTTTAAGACATTTGCACTTCAAATTGATAATCTGTTTACTAAAAAATACTTTCATAATTATAACAGACACTAATACAAAATAACACTTAATTTTAGTCAAATTTATTATATCTTGAACATTGCTTGAATTACCTATCAGCATTCTTGCAAGCCCACAGAGGTTGCATATCAAAGAAATTTAAAAGTGTTTCTTAAACAAATGCGACTTGCGCTTTATCAAACGTCAAAAGCCTTTATTGTAGATTATTTCACCAGTTCTATAGATATTTGCAGACAAACTGCTCAAAAGAGGTGGAAATGAATATATATATATATATATATATATATATATATATATATATATATATATATATATATATATATATATATATATATATATATATATATTGGCCAATCAAAACTGACATGAAGTTGTCCAAATCGGTAAAATAGACATAAGTTGCTAACTGCCTCTTTTCATGCCATTCTACTTCTATTAGGGAGTATTTTCCAAAAAAAATGTATTGACAGAAAATTTGATTTTCCAGCCTCAGTATGTGGACAACATAATATAGCTCAGACATCCCAAAGCTTGCTTCAATCGCAAATACATTTTTCATAAATATAAACTTGGTTTGAAAAAAACAACAAACAAAACAAAGATTGTATTGGTTAGAACATAATTAAAGAGAACTCCTTCACCTAAAGATTTCTTGACTACTACTACACTTACTTAATGCTTACATATGGATAAGAAATATTTAGTAGTATTTTGCAAGTATTATGAGATGTTGCTCAGAACTATATGTGTTTAGAATTGACTTTTTGGTATTTTGTCTTAATATATTAATATTTTCAATTAACTAAATTTCAATGTGTTTTAATAGACAAAAATAACAAGTGTTGACAAACAAACCTTTTTAATAGAGAATTTAATGTAACTTTTTTAACAAGGTTGTCAGAGCATTCTACCATGTTGCTAAGTGGTTTATGAGCCATAGAGCAGTAGCGGGCACAGCAGTTAAGCTTAGAAATTTCATACGGAGTAAATTTGTGAAAACTAAACAAGTAATAACAAAAACTATTTACTCACCCAGTCTTTTCTTTAACCATTCTCCTATTAAAATGTATCTTACATTTGCACTTGGAACTAGTGTGTGGTTGACTAAAAAATACATTAACAAAAAAGCTTGCAATAAAGAAAAGCACTTACACTTCACTAATCCCTTTTAATATCTTTTCATGAAAATCTCTTCTACAAGCACAACTTTTGCTGACCAACTTATTTATCCTAAAAACAAAGGTAGAAATAAAGGTATATGGGAAATTTAATTCAATTTCAAAAGAAATTTCTTACTTTTTAGTATTTTCTTCTGGTGCTTTTCTTTTATAAATTTTGATACATTGGCATTTCCAGGTGGTATCCACTAAAATAAGACTTTAACTATAACAGCAGTAATCGGCACACTATATAAAAAACATACTTGTAATTTTCATCAGATACTTTTCCAATAATATAAATAACTTCGAAAATGTGGCAGTCTAATTGTCAAAGTAAATTTCCTTCTCTTGCCAAATTGCTTTTTTTTTAAATGTTGTGCAATTTCTTCTGTATCCTACAGATGTACACTAAGTGTGCTGAAGGTGAACAGGTTTAATCAATTAAATAATTTTACTACACCTGTGCTTACAGAGATTACGAGTAGTGGTGTTGCCACACTTGCTCTTTTTCACTATCCTTGCGCCTACACCGGGATCGCAAGGATGGTGTCATTGCGTCGTTAGTGTTGTGTGAACCGTTCATTTTACGACAACCGAATCAATCAGTGATCGATTACGAAAAGGACGAATCTTTTCAATCGGATTCATTTGAATTTGAATTATTGTTGTGTCTACATTTTCTGTTTGCGCTATAATAATAGTTAGCTGTCTTCTGCTTTTTACTGCATCATCAATATAATTGATACGTATTGGGTTGGACGAGTAATACATTAATTTCTGTAAATTAAATACCTGACTGAAAATAGATAGTTCATTCAATATTCAATTCAACACATAAGTAAATCCACCAAGGATATCGCAACTCAATAATATACAAATATTATAACAATACTCAAATTCCTTTTCTATAGTCTGTTTCTGTCATTCATTTCAATCTGTAACAATTCAAAAGAACCGTATTCCGCAAGACGAATTGACACAACTCTAGGCACGCCTTAAATTAACCATGGAAAGAAAAATAATACCTATGCTTGGTCACTGTATAAAAAGGAGTTTTTAATTGCAAGAAATCGGGCAGCAGACCAAGTCTGTATCAAAAGCGTCTAGTCTCTGCTGAGACATAATTGATAAACAGAATGTTTAGGTTAGAGCCAGCAATTTGTATAGAGATATCAAATTTAATAGTTTAAATGTTTAAAAGCCGGAATGCAATTAATTTTAGAAGGTAAATTCATAGGGTGGTGGGGTATCAAAACTCCTCAACGAATAGTTTTCCACGAGGTAAAATTGATTTAATATTTTATAATAGCTCAAAAGAGGCATTTTGCATGTTTATCGCAAAAAATGTCGCATTTTATATTATTATCCTTTGTAGGTTGTAGATTAATAGATATATGTAAATTTCAGTTATTGGAAAATAATATCTTAAATGTACAGAAACAAAATGTTAAGCATCAGGAAGGGACAACACAATCATAAACACTTGGAGGACCAACCACAAGGCGGAAATATTAAGAGTTGCAAGCATGTCTGAGAGAGAAAGGAACTTGAGGGAATTTATAGAATAGATCTGCTTCAAGGTAGATAAATTATTAGTATCGAGTATATAGGTATTAATAAATTTCAATTATGTTAATGTTATTTTAGAATATTCCTGTAGAACTAGAAGATTTAACTAGTGCTCTGGAAAAAGCAAGCTAGCGGCCTAGACATTAGTTTGATTATACAGTGTTGTCATTTTTCTCTCAAGCCTCTGTATGAAAGGATTCCAATTTGAGAAATGGGGATTAAACATGATTTTACATTTGTTGGTGATATTCTCTAAATTGCCACATATAGGCATAAAGATTTGATTGTTATTTTTTTGGTTTTTGATTTAGCATCTAACCTATTATTCTTTGGTAGAGTAATATACCAGGCTGAAGCTTGCTTAGATTTTCACCCATGCCAAATTGTAGAGGGTGCCACTACTCTAACTATCGCCCTATTTGGAGTCCGACTTAGTTCATACAACACTTTAAGGCCTCATCCAATAAAGACTTTGGAATACCAGAATCAACAATCTTTGTCCTAACTTTATCCAGTAAAGTTGTAACATACTGTAAAAGGTTTTTACCAGCTTCATATTTAGTTTTTAATGTTTTTATCATTAGGAGATGAGAATAATTATTTAATATAGTTGGAAAGTACTTTTTTCAGCGTAGTTAAACGTAAGTTCGAAGTTAAAGGTCGTTGGTGGGTTTTTTGCTTTTGTAACGTGGTGAGTCTTTGGTTCTTTGATATGTCGTTTTCTTTATATGTGCCTGACCATTTTCCCAACTGTTAAATTTGTCTGTTTTTCTTTTTGAATGCCGTTGAGCAGACTATTCCCTACAGAATCGAATTGGGTTGCATTTTTGTTGGGTCTTTGTCGTTTCCGGTTATTTTAGTTATTAATTAGTGACTCTTCTAGGCATAAGTTTCCTTTGTTTTACTATTTTAATCTGTGCAGCCTTTACTTTAATGGCTAACACGTGGTTCTCTGTTTGTGCAAGGGGTACTGTGTCCCCTCTGCTGTTAGAGTTTAATTGATGTATGTATTGACAAGCCCAGTGTATTTTTCTTATTTTTGTGATAGAGTGTTTCCCTTTTACATTTTAGTGTCCTGAGAAAGCCTAAATAATTGGGCGAAAGCTGGACTTAACAATAAAAAGAGCAATGAGCATTTACATCTTTTATTGCTCCCTCTATATTAGTCAATATTGGGCGATCCCACAGTTATTTTGTGCAACAAGTTACCAGTAGCCCCTTACTGTATTTACTCTTTGCTTCTAGGAGTAAGAATGGGATAATTCTATCGGAGGATTGGAATCACATATGGCACTGACGTCGTGACTCCCAGATACCTACAAGATGGCACACAACAATTGTGGCGCATACTTCAACGACTGAACAACACTAACCATAGACAACTTGAATTTCTAGCACAAAAGGTAACTAAAAAAATGCACAACATGTCTACCGCAGATTGTGACCGGTTTATCAGACTTTCTACGTGGAAAGAACCTTCCTTTTAATATTTTAGATGATTTTTTATTCACACAGAACATTCAATTCAATTCGATTTTATTAAATTAAGGGGAATAATTTAAAAAAGATCAAAGGACTTAGGCAGGCCGAAGATTCATTTTCTTTGCCGATTATGTTAAATGGTTTAAGAACATTTCTAGCACAAAAAATACTTGCTGAAGTTTGTGGTTTTCTAGCCATTGAGACATTGAGAGACGGACAAGGGAATTTCTGAGCTAACTCTAACCTACCAATTACCAAGTCTGACAAGGGTCACGGTTGCCATGTCTAGAGAATCATATATACAAAAATCATTGGAACTCCTTGGAGATAATGCAACGTATATTCCAGTCCATAGAGACCCTACGTCCTCAACAAAAAATAAATGTAATACATTAGTGAAAAAAATTAAAGAACAAGGGTATATTGAAGAAGCCATCTCAAAAAAACTTATCACATAAAACCGTGTATGCCCAAAGTATTATGGCTTACCGAAAGTCCATAAAGAGGACTGCCCACTGTGTCCTATAGTGTCTTGTGTCGGAGAAACTACACAGCCATTGACATGTTTCGTTGGTCAGATTTTGAGCACCTGAATTCAATAAATTTAGAATTAGAAACACGTTCGAATTTGACGAACTTGTTAACGGTGTTCAAATACCTCAGGGCTTTGTGCTTGCTTCTTTTGATGTGGTGTCTCTTTTTACGAATATCACCCTAGAATTAGTATTGGCAATTTTCGACGAGCATTTCAATTTGATTGAACCCAATTGTAATATTCAAAAGTCAAAAGTGCCGTAGTAACCGTGTTTCAAAAACTGTGGCTTAAAACTTTAAAACTTTTGAAATTTAATATGTTATAGTATTGCCATAGTGTTTTGTGAGAGGTCTCATCTTTCTATTTTAAATAACGACTAACATTCTTGCATGTAATCAATTCTTCTACCAACGAAAAATGCGAGAGTCTATAGAGATCTGTAAACAACTTAACAATCTTAACTCTCTACCTGAGTCGCGGTTTGAGCAGATTGCTATTCAAGAAAAGCCCTGTAGTGTTGGTTTAGGTGAAAAAATTTTGTGGGTCTGTGATCTAGTCGAATACTAAAATTATTGTCTGTGCGTTTTTCACCGTGGTTAAAGGTAAGTTCGAAGATAATGGTCGGTGGTGGGTTTTTTGCTTTTTATTCTTTGGTTTTGTAAGGTGGTGATTCTTTGATTTATCAAGTTTTCTTTATATGTGCCTGAAAATTTTTCCAACTGTCAAATTTGTCGTTTTTTTTTTTAAATGTCGTTGAGCAGATTATCACCAGACCACCAGACAGAATAGAATTGCGTTGCATTTTTGTTGGGTCTTTGTCGTTTACGGTTATTTGACTTATTGATTAGTGACTCGTTGTCTAGGCATAAGTTTCCTTTGTTTTACTATTTTAATCTGTGCAGCCTTTACTTTAATGGCTAACACGTGGTTCTCTGTTTGTGCAAGGGGTACTGTGCCCCCTCTGCTGTTAGAGTTTAATTACATTCTAGTGTCCCGAGGAAGCCTAAATACTTGGACGAAAGCTTGACTTAACAATAAAAAGCCACTATTCAATGAGCATTTACATCTTTTATTGATCCCTCTATATTAGTCAATATTGGGCGATCCCGTAGTTATTTTGTGCAACAAGTTACCAGTAGCCCCTAACTGTATTTACACTTTGCTTCTAGGAGTAAGAATGGGATAATTCTATCGTAGGATTGGAATCACATATGGCACTGACGTCGTGCCTCCCAGATATCTACAAGATGGCACACAACAACTGTGGCGCATACCTTCACAACTGAACACAAAAGGTAACTAAAAAAATGCACAACATGACACTTGAACGTACTTTGAGGCGACATACAGACTTTCTACGTGGAAAAAACCTTCCTTTTAATATTAGATGATTTTTTATTCACACCGAACATTCAATACAATTCGATTTTTAATAAAATTAAGGGGAATAATTTTAAAAAGATCAAAGGACTTAGGCAGGCCGAAGATTCATTTTCTTTGCCATTGAGCGCCTCTTTCGCTGAATTCAATAAATTTAGAATTAGAAACACATTCGAATTTGACGAACTTGTTAACGGTGTTCAAATACCTCAGGGCTTTGTGCTTGCTTCTTTTGATGTGGTGTCTCTTTTTACGAATATCACCCTAGAGTTAGTATTGGCAATTTTAGACGAGCATTTCAATTTGATTGAACCCAATTGTAATATTCCGAAAAAACAGTTTATTGATATGATTCGCTTCCTATATAGTAACACTTTTTTCACCTTTAACAACGATTACTATCAACAAATTAAGGGTCTGCCGATGGGTGGTGCCGCCTCCCTATTGATCGCGGAAATTGTGATGAATAAATTATTATATTTCATTGTAGATAAAGTTGATTATAAATTTCCACTTTTATGCCAATATGTGGATGATTTGTTTGATGTACTTCCCGAAAATTCACTGATTTTAGATTTCGGCGATCATATTGAGATAGACGAGTGCAATTTCATTTTCTGCACGTGGGTGCTTTGGAAATTCTGTTCCATCCTCATCGCGATCTATATAATACTGAGATTCACTTTACACTAAGTCAAGCATCAAACCCAAGCCAAATTGTAGATGGTTCCACGGCCCAACTGACAATTATTTAGTTAATATATTATGTAATACTCAATCGTTCTCATTGTCATAATAGAATTTGTTAGTTTAATTGATATAAATAAATGACAACGTAATGCCCGAATGACGTTTTAATTATTTACTGCCAAACAGGAAAAAGAAATAATAAAAGCTAGATTAGCGACTGTACCGTCGACATCGGGGATGTTAGATTGTGTTTCGTCTTCGTGCAAAGCATTTATGTCTATCTGCTGCGAAGTTTTCTTTTCATTTTTTGAATTTAATCTCGAAATCGAATTCCTCGAGATTAAGCCTCCAAAGAATAAGGCGATAATTGGGTTCTTTTAACTTTGACAGCCACACTAGTGGGTTATGGTCCGTTTCGATGACAAACTTTTGACCGTATAGATAGGTACGACTATAACCAGATTATTCATTCCACAAGCGCTTATTCTCCTTTTTCTATAGATGTAGCATTTTTACGGAAACATTTTTTTCAAAACATGTCCAGACCTCGTTAAATTTTCTAGGAAAACGAGTTAAATGTGTAGAAATCGCTGTTTTAAAAACATTTTTTGCGTCAATGAAAGCATCAATCTCTTGGCGACAATTTCATTTGCTGTCTTGCCCAACTCTACCATACAGTCTTTGGAAATAGTCAAAAAATCGCTGCTCGTATAACAAAATCATCCTAGCAGAAGAGTAAGTGAACACTCTGATGAGACGTCCGTTTTAACTGGCTGATGCGTGAACTGCCAGACTCGTAAGTCGAAACGGGCTTCGGCCATGGCACTAGTCGACTCTCCGATAAACTTGTTTAAGGTGCCAACATCAACACACTCGAAACACAATTGTTCACATAAAACCTTTCGGACAACTCCCCTCCCATCTTTCCAGACAACGAGATATAAAATATGGTAGCCCCTAACAAAAAAGGACCATTGTTGACTCCAAAAACAAATCGTCTGTAAATTTTTTTGCGGCCCTCTGAAGAAGCGAAGGTAGTCTCTGTCATCTTGATGAACACATGCCTTACAAATGTCCGCTTTTAACCTGATTTGGCACTGTCTGAACCTGAGTAAGATGTCCGGAATTAGCTCAATTAAGTTCACCTTCTTATCAAGGCATTGCTTCAACGAAGGACTTTTCTTCCCTTTGGCTGAATCGTCAAAAACGGGTCGTATCTTGATGAAATCGATTTTTTTCGAAGGTATACGCGCTTGGCAACGTAACTCATATCTCGGCAACGTTTGGTTTACAAATGATCAGCGTAGAAAAAAAGTTTTTATTGTCTGTTTGCCCGTTCTCTGTTATTCGTTCTGTGTGGACGCTTCCTAAAAACGCGAATAACTTCAGAACCGGCCACGAGATATTGGCGTCTGTCTTTTTTTTGCAATTTTCTTCTGTTTTTCGTACATCGCTATGAAACACGATAAGTGTCCGAGATTTGCAGCTATTTCAATATTGGCCCCCATATAGAGTTTAGTACCCTAATGCGACTTAGTGAAATTTGGAGGGGGCGGGGGCTAGGGGGTCGGTAAATATTTTTAAAAAATTAAAAACAGTATAGATGATCGAAAAAATTCTTGACCCAGAAGACGTATGAGGTGGTGAAAATTATTTATTCTTGATGATTTATTAAAAATGGATAGGGTGCGCCGGCAAATTGCAAAAAACTGAAAATTAGGTTCCCCTTATATGGACAATTGACCATAACTAAAAGGCTGGTTTTTTCTTCTAGAAAAAACAAAATTTCTTGAAAACTATTAACTTGATCGGCCAAATTATTTTAATAAGAGACGCGGAAGATTCGGTACTATAACTTTAATTTCAAACATTTTTTGATTATGTACAGTGTTTTTTAATTATAGACAAAAATTCTTTTTGTCATTAAATTATTAGATATAAAACAAAATTCGTCAAAAATATGGTCAATTGGTTTAAACAGTGTTACAGGTCACATCGACAGCTACAACTTTTGTATTTACAGTTTTCGTCACATACACTGTTCGAGATATTTGAAAACATCCAAATGAAAATCACTATTTCACGCTGTCAATCTAAACGCGATGACGTCATTTACTATTACTACGTACTGCATCTTCCAGGGCTATTACCTCTATATCGAACATTGTTTAAATTATGTGCCGGGTGTGTCGTTTATGGACAAAAAATCTAAAATAACCTAAAAATTTCCGTTTTTTTGGATAAATTATTGGGGATAAATGAAAAACTTCTGAAGATCCCTTAATTTGATTTGAACAGTATCGTAGACTGTGTCGAGAAAGAGTTTCAGATTTCGTCAATTCTACAGGGCGCGCGAGATATTTGAAAAAATATCATTCGACAACGCCATTATTTGTACAAATTTTGATATTTAACAAAGTTTGCCGTGACTTTAAGTTCTGCGAGACGTGAAAGACACTTTATACAGGATACAATGCGTCCCTGTAGGACAAGCGGCTTCATTTTGAAATACAAAGCTGCTTCGCCCTATGAGATACGAACTTGTTTTATTACAGGCCTGTTAGGCAAATAATGTTTTTACATATTTAGTTGTGGAGTTTCCCCTATCGAGTAGGAGGCTGGGACTGCCCACGTGCGGGTGTTGAGTGCGAGTACTGAGCCAACATTCCACCTTGGCTTGGTTCCCGGAACATTAACAGACAGCTGTGTAATGTTCGGAACAGCTTAAGGTTTTTGTAACTTCAGTGGCCTGTTCTTGCAGCCTTGTTTTGCACCGCCAAAACTTGAAAGTGAGATTTGACACTTACACCTACCACCAGGTTCGAGGGAATAAATTATTGTTTGCGATTCACTTGTTTATTTCCTTCACGGGTGGAACTTCGGGTTGTTAAGTTTAGCTTTTTGAATCACGTGGCGCCTACCTACCACCTTCTGGGACTGACCGAGGTGCCCTTTACCGTCTTCCAACTTGGGCTTCTATTTAGTAATTTTTTTTTACCTTATTAATTTTTCTTTTTTGTTAGTGAACTAGCCTGGGCAGTGTCTTACCCTGAGATCGAGAGGTAAGATGATACAAAGAAAATTGCAGACAGCAATTCCCTATTAAAAAAATGATTTTGCATCATCGCCATTTTCGATTGGGTTTGCAAAACAACAGTCCCGCAAATATGTATAAAACAAAGGGTTTTGCGGGAGCAGATCGGGTCTTGTTTCCAGAGAAGAGCTTTAACGGGTGTAACAATAACTTTGAAACAAAAAGAGGAACAAATTTTAAGCGACTGCGGTGAATTCATAAAAAGAAAAAACGACGGCCAAGACGTGACCGAAGTGAAATATGTTTCTACCGAAAATCGACTTAGGAACGAATTTAAACGAATCTGTGGTCTTTTTTTCCTGCAAAAGAACGTGGCCAACAATACTTACCGACTTCATATCCTTTTTTAAGAACGTATTATGAAATGACAACTGTCCAACGGCGGTGAATCTAAACCAAATTCATATATTTGATAAATCCAACGGAATTTGCCTAAATGTGTATGTTATAGAGTAAATTCAAAACCACAGTAAATGTTTTTATTCAGTGTTACCGGACCGTTTAACTAAAGACAAACGCGAAAAAAATGTCAATTTAATATTATTTTAAAATAAGCATTATACAAAAATTAATGATTTTGATCCGGTACCGACGACAAAGAAACTTCGCCATTTGTAATCTACGCCGATTTCGAAAGTCGACTTAAAGATCTAAATTTTATGATTTCAGACAAAATGAGAAATATGCATGAGGCATTATTGGTATTGGTATTGGTATTGGTATTAAAGGGGGGCGTCCAAGAACTTAGGCCACCAGACGGGCCCGTTGTGCCCCCAGGCCGCTCTAGAGGGCGTCCAGAATGCCGCCCCTCCTATAGAAGGTCAGCCCAATACCGTGCACTGAGTCCGGATCGATCAGGGCCGTTCCGAAAACTCCCAATCTTGCCCATGTCAAGGCAGGGCACTCAAGCAAGCAAGCAAAGATGCCTTCTAAGCCAGCAATGTCCTGTGTACGCCCCTGTTAGTGCTCTACACTCTCTTCTGGTCAGTCTAAGCAGCTCCCTGGTCCGAGGAAGGGCGGGCCCATCCATCATAAGCCTCGCCTGCCTCATTCCCCGAGCAACTCTCCAGCCCACCGCGGCCCGGTCTCTCGCCCAGGCTTCGAGAGCTCCCCGCCTCACACACGGGGCGATCCCCAACCGGGGCTCTGACCCTATATGCCTATGCGAGCAGCCCACTCTGGCTAAGGCCTCCGCTGCCTCATATGCATGAGGCATATAGTGAGTTTCCTCTGGCGACGATGTGTACTTGGGAACTTCATCTCTGCCATCGTCACTTCCATCGCTAGTATAGTCTCCGTTAGGGTCATCCAAGCAACAAGTCGCAGTAGCCGCGGCGGAAGGCTCGATCCCCAAACTCGGGAAATTTCCAACCATAATTCCAATGACCTTCACCAAGCTTCTGGCTTCTTTCACAAAAATTGAAGGGAATCGAGGCCTGACAATAGGAACCGATCGAAAACTAGCAAAACAAAATAACCCTAGGCACAATACCAACCTAACACTTCCAAACCAATACTTCAGAAAGCCGGAACCGAACTACTACGGACTTCGATAGAAAAATCTACTGCTTCGCTGTAAAGCAGCTTTGTATAACGTTAAAAAATGAAACCCATCAGAAATCAAATCCGAATTTGTAATTTTCGTGAGCTATGCAACCAGTATTTTACCAACCCACAGAAGCCGCGCTAAGCCAGTAATCGGCGTTAGCCACGTTGACTAAGGACTCTCGCCCAAATAATACGGCAGTAATAATCTTTAATAAATTAATATCTTAAATACGCCAATAAAGGGTAATAATAAAACGGAACCGTGACAAATTAAAACACAACGGGATAAAATTAAATTACACACAGATATTCCTCTCAATGAATTTTTAATGGCTTTAGATTTTACACTAAAATCCACATTTTTTCAATATAAAAACATGTTCTATAAACAAGTCGAAGGTTGTGCCACGGGTATGTCAATTTCAAGCATAGTTGCACAACTTGTTATGGAGTATCTAGAAGAAAATGTTATTAAAAACATTCAATTCAATTTAACTTTTTTAAATTTTAAACTAACAAAATTAAATTATCCAATATAATAAAAAACATCCGTACCTGTTTTGCATCCCACTCCAATCTGTATAAAATATTCGCTGACTTTTTTTTTTAATATATTAACACAACGTTAAATGTCATTAATTGTTATATATGTCACCTATACAAAATAAAAATATTTTGCAAAAGATCGAAATTACGATCGAAACATTAATAAATATTTAGAAGAATCACATTAATTGTTTTCGAGAGACCGAATACCCAAGAGAAATTGAAGAAAATATACACGCGACGGTCCAAGAAACTACGGCATATGGCAACATTGCCAAACACCTGTCAGCGAAGCGAAGGACGTAAACAATGCCGGCAAAGCAAATACTAAAAGTCTTCCACTTCTACGTCGAGAACCAGGAGATGTGTACAAATAACAGCCAGGTAAGTAATAAAATGCTCCCTCTATGCATAACAAACCAGATACAGGGAACAGCAACCAACTAACCTAAAACAACCACGAGCATGTCTTCTCTTAGAGCCTTGGATACCGATTTGATCACTCTCCTTTTAAGGAGCAACAACTAGAATAGAGACAGGCAATGCTACGGAGCCTCGAGTGCGAGGGATGTCGCAGGAATATACCAGGACGAACGAAAGCAATGGCTACAATGACCGTTACAACTCCGAGCAGCCTCTAGCCATCCAAGAAGTACTAAGGTCTCAATCTAAGGAAGTATGCAAACGTGTCTACATGCACTGGCGTGTAATACCGCCACAAGGCCAAAAAAGACGACGCAGGGGCATTATATACAGGGTTGGAAGAAGATAACCACCACTACACGGAATTTCCCAATACTACGTTAGAAATATTCTTTTAATGGCTTGTGCTAACTGTACCTGTAAATGCAATAAGATCCTAAATAAAAAATTGGCTGTTACTAAGGAGTTCTTTCCGTTCGAAAATTTTACCAGGGTTCTTGACGAATTGGCGGAAGCGCTAACGGTGAAGAATAGACCGTTACATATTTACCGACGGGACTCTTCTCCTACCTTTTGTAAACCAGGCGGCTTCACATTTATCAGCACACAGTGGGAGGTTGTTGTTCTCTAGTCAGTTCTGTAATGTTTTTAGAGCTCTATTAAGTTTGCTTACCAGTAACTCTATGTCTTTTCCTTCGCAGAACAGGACCCATTCAGCTATTATCTTGATTCGGGTTTAAAGGCCGTCGTCGATTGGAATTACTTCCTAACGTTTCGCTAGCACGAGTGGCGAGCTTCTTCAGAGGTCCTTCCAACTCCGATGTTGGACGTAGACTGACGATTTCTCCTGCGCAGGTTGTATTTATGCCGATTGGTGGTGGGCGGGGCTTGTTCCGCTTCGGTTGGTCTCGGGATATCGATCGGTACTGCTCGGGCGTTCCTAAGGATCGGGTTTCAGATTTGGTTGAGTCTAAGGGTCTCCTCCTTTCTGTTGAAATTGTGTGGATGTTTTTGTATCTCAATGGCTTCCCTGACTAGTCTGTTGTGATAGCCGTTACTCTGCCAATCCTGTTGGTGACACTCGGAATATACGGCAGATATGCGTGGGAGGTGAAGGGTCGTTGTTCGGTATCCCGTGATCTCGATGGTCTTGAGTTCATTGATCTTTCGATCTCCCTCTTGTTGTAGCCATTTCGCTGGAACGTAGTTTTTAGGTGTTCAAATTCCATCTGGAGGTTCTCCGGTTCGCAAATCCTTCGGGCTCGTTCTGTCAGGGTTCTGATAACCCCATACTTTTGACTTGGGTGATGGTTGGATAGAGCATGCAGGTATCTGTCCGTATGGGTTGGTTTTCTGTAAACTGTGTGGCCCAGCTTGTTACCTCGCTTCCTCACTAGTACGTCCAAGAATGCAAGTTGTTGGTCATTTTCAGTCTCCATAGTAAACTGGATGCTGGGATGTTGACTGTTGAGATGCTGCAGAAAGTTGTTGAGCTTGTCCATACCATGTTTCCAAATCATGAAGGTGTCATCCACGCACCGGAACCACTTTGCTGGCTTGTACTCTGAGGTCTCGATCGCTTTTTCCTCAAAATAAATAAGTTGGCTATAACCGGGTTTAATGGGCTTCCCATTGCCACTCCATCCACCTGTTCGTAGAAGTTTCCCTTAAACACAAAATAGCTACCGGTCAGACAGACTTCAAAAAGTCAGCAAATATCGACAGGAAATATCCAGTTCACCATGTCCAAGCAACTCTTCAGAGGTACTTTGGTAAACAGTGAGACGACGTCGAAGCTCACAAAGATGTCGTTTTGTTCAATATTGATATCTTGAATCTTGCGCATGAAGTCGGTGGAGTCCTTGATGTAACTGGTGCCGTGTCCTATGTGTGGTTGGAGCAGCGATGCCAAGTGTTTAACCAAGTAATACGTTGGTGATCCGGGTGCGCTAACTATTGGTCTTAACGGGACATCTTGAAAGTCGAGTTGAGTTTCTCTAAAAGCAAATTGAATTTTGTAAAATCCCACAAGTCGATATTGAATTTATCGATAGCTGCAAGATTCTCTGAAAATGTTGAAAGCAATCTCCTCAGTTCGACAACCGAGTCACTCTTCATAGTCCGAGCCCGTAAGATCGACAGCCAATAATCGGTTAACATCAATCGATCTTTTAATAACGCTTCACGAGAGCATTGTAAGCTATACTACCAATACGACCAAATAAGACAATAAAAATTGAAATTTTTCAATGTTTGAAAGGGAAGAATTATTATGGATTAAGGTGTTAAACATATCAAAAAATTAACCCTCTAACGAGGTCGGCGTGCCGAAAGGCACTGTGACGTCATAAAAATAACGATGGGTGCGAATACACACCTACACCTCACGTTCGACACAAGTAAGGTGACATTACACCTGTAATTAGCGACAGGTGTCACCTACACCTAACGGTTACCACAGGTTAGGTGACATTACACCTACACCTGTAATTAGCGACAGGTGTCACCTACACCTAACGGTTACCACAGGTCAGGTGACATTACACCTACACCTGTAATTAGCGACAGGTGAGACACCTTACTTTTTCAGCTGCTACGACCCCTTCTGGAGGGATGATGGTCACCTAGATATCATCCCCGTTCACAGTTAAGTGTGAAGTAAGAAGAAAAATTAAATCTCTACCGCAAGCACAAGGAGAATGGTTTGAGGCTTTTAAAGATGACAAAAAAAAATGGTAGTTTGTGGAGGGTCCAATTTAAAATACAATTTGGAAAAGCAGCTGACGCAATGCGAAGAAAATATACAGCAGCTCGAAACTCAGATAGCAGTTGTTCAGGCCGATCTTTAAGTACTGCGCTTACGTGCCGAAGAATACAAAGTAAAAAGCGGATATTTTCAAAATTTGGGTCTAGCAGATATTGTATAAAATTGTAAAAAATATTCAGAAACTGTAATGTGATAAAAAAATAAAATCCCAACAATATATTTCCAGTCATTTTATTTCAAATATTTGAGAGGACGCTTTTGGTCAGATCTTAATTATGTCTAAAAATAACTGCGGAACAGCTCTCGAACATGTTCAAAACGTCTAAAAGGTTTCGACAGATCCGAAACAGATATGACCCAGTAATGATAAGCATTTCCGGAGAAAATCTTAATTAACCGGAAGGAACGTACTCGAAAGTTTGCATTATTTTAACTTCGTTATCGGAGAAGGAAATGACGTTATTAACATGTGACCACCGCCACAGTCAGTCTTCATTCTTTGGATTTTTTTGTTTTCACCGCATAAAAATAGTAAGTGTTAAGTGATACTAGAACAGTTCGGGAGTGAGAGGCAAAAAAATAATGTTCGCCTGCGAATATTGCAACCGCTAGTTCAGCCGAAAAGACCAGCTCGCCAGGCACGGGCATTGTGACGTTTGCGGTGGGATATACGACGTCATCAACGCGAGAAATATGTGGTGTCCAATGGAGGAGACCCCGTATCATCCGCTCACCGAGGGACCTGTTTTGGCATGGGCAGGATTTGGAGTCTTCTGATCGATCCGGACTCAGTGCACGGTATTGGGCTAAAGGAGTTGTTGACCTATAGAAGGAGCGGTATTCTGGACGCCTTCTAGCGCGGTCTGAGGGCACAACGGACCCATGTGGTTTCCTAAGTGCTAGGACGCAGGGGTGCCACCCTTTAAGACCAATACCAAAGACCCGAAAAGACCCGCCGCCGTCCCTATTGCTGCTGACGAAGCCAAGCGCCCGAGACCTTACCTACCGGAAGGTAAGATTTTTTACATTTTCTTTACGAGACAGGTATTGGTCGACAACATCGAAAAAAGGTATTTTTAAAACTCCGATTTTTAGATTCGTTTCGAGTCATGGCGTCCAGCTTGGACAAATTGAGTCGAAATTTAAACGATAGAATTTCAACTTATTCGACAGAAGGGCGTCTTTCCCTATACATACCTCATTAGATTTCTTCAATGCTTTAGATTTTTTCAGCTATGTACGTCTTAGTCAATAAAATGTACTATGCCTATTGCTTATTTTTTCCGCCCCTCTGATTATATGAGCAGATACCGATAAAGGAGAGCTTTCCTCTTATCAGTTTAACGGATGTGCCTGCAGACAATACTTCCTCGCATAAACTATAGTTTCTATCTTAAAAAATTATTGACGTTTGCGGGTTATCTTTAATAATTTAATTATATGCGACCTGGACGACCCAATTGTCTCGCTGCGAACAAAAACAAACAGCGAGTAGCATTGAGAGATATTTATATAGATTATGCGCGGCCACGGTGACATAATAGTCTCGCTCCGCGTAACATCGTCGGCCAGGCTCGCCTCCCGCCAGTACCTTGCTCTCCTCAGTAAGACCAGGAACTTGTAATTTTTGCAACGCCGACGGTGTCTAAAAAAACAATTTTATCAAAAAATTGCATGTTTCACACTTTTGTGTCGCGTCAGAAATATGTGGAATATGAATTAGGCTGCTTTTCTATAAGTATAATAATTTTTATATTAACTTTAAGAATTTTATTTTTGTTTATCGTATGTGATGGGTTTTTACAAATTTACTTACATTTTTGTTGAACTTAAAATAATTAACTACAGAGGCTAAAAACTTCTATAAGTTCATTACTACCCATCACCGTGTTCGAATAATTATTAAAAATTACAATTTTTGAAATTATTACCTTGAATTACCTTACCAACATATTCCGATGTTTAAAAATTTTTACTGTTTAAAGTTAGAGTTTTGAGTTAGTATAAACATCTGCTGTACTGTTTTCCGAAATTAAATTCTCTACTTTCCTACAATCCTTTCCTAACTTTTTCCTTTATAAAATGGATATTTTGTTTTGGTTTTTGCTAAATATTTTACAATTCTATTTAAATTTAGTATGGCCTGATTATATGGTATGTTTTGTTTGGTAAATAGATCATGCTTTCCACAGCATCACAGTTTCTTTTGTTATGAACTACCTGTTTTTCTTCATAGGTATTGTAACTGGTTTGATCTTTTCCATACTAAATTGTTTCAAGACAATTTTGGTATATGTCATGTTATTGTCTATAACATTTTAAAATAACATACGCTGAATATACGTTTTTTTAACACCTTTATTTCCGTGACCTTCTACTACCATGGCTACCATAGAACAGAGTCCCGCGCGAACCATGGAATTTCCCTGGTAGCATCGGTTGCCTGATGGCACAGTATAACTTTCTTGATCTAGTTTTACCAAGATATGAAAATGCGTAAAAATAAACAAATTAATTTTTTTTTCAATTTTTTAGTTTTACTACGTTTACAACTCTACTCTCGAACGGAAGTGGAAGCGAATATTTATGCTGGAAACGAAAATTACGACTCCGAAGAAAAGGCAGTAGGAAGAAACAGGTCCTTAAAATTAGGGACCGAAATCTCCAAACCTGAGGTTCACAAAGTATACCCCTCCCTTTGTACGAGGGATAAATTTGATGCAGGAAGGAATAGGAAGGCCCAGACATTGGCCACATACAATAAAATCTAAATCCTAACCGTCGTACGGGAGTCTAAGCAAATATTTCTGCTGGAAACAAAAATTATCCACTTGATAGATATTATCCTCGATAAGTGAAAGTGTGTAAATTTCAATTAATGTAGGAAAAAATATTTTCAGTTTTTTAGTTTCCCTCAATAGCAACTCTCGTACGGGAGTGCAAACAAATATTTTTTAGATAGATAGTAGAAAGGAAGAAAGGTTTTTATATTTTGATATATAGGGAGGTGAAAAATAGTTTATATGTTAAGGTTTGTTTTAAAAATTTCCGCGGCCACTGATCATTCGGCGCTTTCCGTATTTTGGCTTCAACCGTTTTAAATTAACTTTTATATAAAAATTAAAAAACAATTTTATTATGTGAATTATATATTCAAGGCCCATGAAAGCCACTTGGGTAAAAATAAGTATAAAGTTAGTTTTGTTTGGTAAAAATTATACAATATAAACGAAATAAACATAGAGATCCAGTTACATAATTGTGAAGATATTTAAAAAAAAAAAGAAAAAATGATAATGCCAAATTCAACTATTAAGCAAATATTAAATTATATTTGAAACACATCACATTTGACTGTAATCCCTTCCGCTCTCTTCTGCAAACACACTTTCTGCTGACAAACTTATCTTTCCTAAAAAAACATATAGAAAATGCAATTAGAATTTCAAACTGGACTTCTTATTTTTTTATGTTCTGGCACTTTTCCGTTATAAATTTTATGACAAAATATTTTTACATCTATACCATATACTAATACGAAATAACACTTAATATTCATAATTTGACACTTTTATTACACAGCTATTTCTCCATCCTATGAGGAATATGCGTTATGTCCTGGACATTGCTTCAATTACTTATCAGCTTTGTTGCAAGCGCACGGAGATTGCATCAAAAGAAAATTTAAAAGTGTTTCTCAAACAATTGGGACTTGCACTTTATTAAATATCAAAAGTCTTTAACCAGTTCTATAGATATTTTTACAACTTTCTTGGTAGAATACGTTTTTGTAATCATTAACGTAAACTTGGTTTGAGAAAAAAGTATGTTTAAACAGAAAGAATAGAGAACTCCTACACTTCAAGGTTCCTAGACTACTACTACCACACTTATACTAATACTGTTTACATATGGGAAATTAACTAAAATGCTCATGACTAGTGCCCAGAAATGTATATGTCTAGAATTGACTTTTTTTGTATTTTGAATTAATATATTAATATTTTCACTTAACTAATTTTCATTTTGTTTAACTACACAATAATAACAGGTGTCGACAAACAACCTTTATAACACAGAAACAATGGAAATCAATAACACTCTTAGAAGTCATTTTTTTAATAAGATGGTCCCCTATGTTGCTAATTATACCCATAGAGTAACAGCAGGTACAGTAGTTAAACTTACGAGTTTAATATAGAGTAAATTTGTTGAAACTAAACAAGTAAAGACAAAAACAATTTACTCACCCAGTATTTTCTTTAACCATTCTCCAATTAAAATTTATCTTACATTTGCCCTTGTGACTAGTGTGTGGTTGACTAAGAAATATATTTACAAAAAAGCATATAATAAAAAAAGGACTTACACTTCACTAATCCCTCCAAATCTCTTTTCATGAACATCTCTTCTACAAGTACAACTTTTGCTGACAAACTTACTTTTCCTAAAAAGAAAAGTAGAAAAAAAGGATATAAGAAATGCAAACTCAATTTCAAAACAAAATTCTTACTTTTTTATATGTTTCTCTGGTATGTTTCCTTTAAAAATTTTAAGACATTTGCACTTCAAATTGATAATCTGTTTACTAAAAAATACTTTCATAATTATAACAGACACTAATACAAAATAACACTTAATTTTAGTCAAATTTATTATATCTTGAACATTGCTTGAATTACCTGTCAGCATTCTTGCAAGCCCACAGAGGTTGCATATCAAAGAAATTTAAAAGTGTTTCTTAAACAAATGGGACTTGCGCTTTATCAAACGTCAAAAGCCTTTATTGTAGATTATTTCACCAGTTCTATAGATATTTGCAGACAAACTGCTCAAAAGAGGTGGAAATGAAATATATATATATATATATATATATATATATATATATATATATATATATATATATATATATATATATATATATATATATATATATATATATATATATATATATATATATATATATATATATATATATATATATATATATATATATATTGGCCAATCAAAACTGACATGAAGTTGTCCAAATCGGTAAAATAGACATAAGTTGCTAACTGCCTCTTTTCATGCCATTCTACTTCTATTAGGGAGTATTTTCCAAAAAAAATGTATTGACAGAAAATTTGATTTTCCAGCCTCAGTATGTGGACAACATAATATAGCTCAAACATCCCAAAGCTTGCTTCAATCGCAAATACATTTTTCATAAATATAAACTTGGTTTGAAAAAAACAACAAACAAAACAAAGATTGTATTGGTTAGAACATAATTAAAGAGAACTCCTTCACCTAAAGATTTCTTGACTACCACTACACTTACTTAATGCTTACATATGGATAAGAAATATTTAGTAGTATTTTGCAAGTATTATGAGATGTTGCTCAGAACTATATGTGTTTAGAATTGACTTTTTGGTATTTTGTCTTAATATATTAATATTTTCAATTAACTAAATTTCAATGTGTTTTAATAGACAAAAATAACAAGTGTTGACAAACAAACCTTTTTAATAGAGAATTTAATGTAACTTTTTTAACAAGGTTGTCAGAGCATTCTACCATGTTGCTAAGTGGTTTATGAGCCATAGAGCAGTAGCGGGCACAGCAGTTAAGCTTAGAAATTTCATACGGAGTAAATTTGTGAAAACTAAACAAGTAATAACAAAAACTATTTACTCACCCAGTCTTTTCTTTAACCTATTAAAATGTATCTTACATTTGCACTTGGAACTAGTGTGTGGTTGACTAAAAAATACATTAACAAAAAAGCTTGCAATAAAGAAAAGCACTTACACTTCACTAATCCCTTTTAATATCTTTTCATGAAAATCTCTTCTACAAGCACAACTTTTGCTGACCAACTTATTTATCCTAAAAACAAAGGTAGAAATAAAGGGATATGGGAAATTTAATTCAATTTCAAAAGAAATTTCTTACTTTTTAGTATTTTCTTCTGGTGCTTTTCTTTTATAAATTTTGATACATTGGCATTTCCAGGTGGTATCCACTAAAATAAGACTTTAACTATAACAGCAGTAATCGGCACACTATATAAAAAACATACTTGTAATTTTCATCAGATACTTTTCCAATAATATAAATAACTTCGAAAATGTGGCAGTCTAATTGTCAAAGTAAATTTCCTTCTCTTGCCAAATTGCTTTTTTTTAAAATGTTGTGCAATTTCTTCTGTATCTTACAGATGTACACTAAGTGTGCTGAAGGTGAACAGGTTTTTTCAATTAAATAATTTTACTACACCTGTGCTTACAGAGATTACGAGTAGTGGTGTTGCCACACTTGCTCTTTTTCACTATCCTTGCGTCTACACCGGGATCGCAAGGATGGTGTCATTGCGTTGTTAGTGTTGTGTGAACCGTTCATTTTACGACAACCGAATCAATCAGTGATTGATTACGAAAAGGACGAATCTTTTTAATCGGATTCATTTGAATTTGAATTATTGTTGTGTCTACATTTTCTGTTTGAGCTATAATAATAGTTAGCTGTCTTCTGCTTTTTACTGCATCATCAATATAATTGATACGTATTGGGTTCGACGAGTAATACATTAATTTCTGTAAATTAAATACCTGACTGAAAATAGATAGTTCATTCAATATTCAATTCAACACATAAGTAAATCCACCAAGGATATCGCAACTCAATAATATACAAATATTATAACAATACTCAAATTCCTTTTCTATAGTCTGTTTCTGTCATTCTTTTCAATCTGTAACAATTCAAAAGAACCGTATTCCGCAAGACGAATTGACACAACTCTAGGCAAAGAAAAATAATACCTATGCTTGGTCACTGTATAAAAAGGAGTTTTTAATTGCAAGAAATCGGGCAGCAGACCAAGTCTGTATCAAAAGCGTCTAGTCTCTGCTGAGACATAATTGATAAACAGAATGTTTAGGTTAGAGCCAGCAATTTGTATAGAGATATCAAATTTAATAGTTTAAATGTTTAAAAGCCGGAATGCAATTAATTTTAGAAGGTAAATTCATAGGGTGGTGGGGTATCAAAACTCCTCAACGAATAGTTTTCCACGAGGTAAAATTGATTTAATATTTTATAATAGCTCAAAAGAGGCATTTTGCATGTTTATCGCAAAAAATGTCGCATTTTATATTATTATCCTTTGTAGGTTGTAGATTAATAGATATATGTAAATTTCAGTTATTGGAAAATAATATCTTAAATGTACAGAAACAAAATGTTAAGCATCAGGAAGGGACAACACAATCATAAACACTTGGAGGACCAACCACAAGGCGGAAATATTAAGAGTTGCAAGCATGTCTGAGAGAGAAAGGAACTTGAGGGAATTTATAGAATAGATCTGCTTCAAGGTAGATAAATTATTAGTATCGAGTATATAGGTATTAATAAATTTCAATTATGTTAATGTTATTTTAGAATATTCCTGTAGAACTAGAAGATTTAACTAGTGCTCTGGAAAAAGCAAGCTAGCGGCCTAGACATTAGTTTGATTATACAGTGTTGTCATTTTTCTCTCAAGCCTCTGTATGAAAGGATTCCAATTTGAGAAATGGGGATTAAACATGATTTTACATTTGTTGGTGATATTCTCTAAATTGCCACATATAGGCATAAAGATTTGATTGTTATTTTTTTGGTTTTTGATTTAGCATCTAACCTATTATTCTTTGGTAGAGTAATATACCAGGCTGAAGCTTGCTTAGATTTTCACCCATGCCAAATTGTAGAGGGTGCCACTACTCTAACTATCGCCCTATTTGGAGTCCGACTTAGTTCATACAACACTTTAAGGTGGAATACCAGAATCAACAATCTTTGTCCTAACTTTATCCAGTAAAGTTGTAACATACTGTAAAAGGTTTTTACCAGCTTCATATTTAGTTTTTAATGTTTTTATCATTAGGAGATGAGAATAATTATTTAATATAGTTGGAAAGTACTTTTTTCAGCGTAGTTAAACGTAAGTTCGAAGTTAAAGGTCGTTGGTGGGTTTTTTGCTTTTGTAACGTGGTGAGTCTTTGGTTCTTTGATATGTCGTTTTCTTTATATGTGCCTGACCATTTTCCCAACTGTTAAATTTGTCTGTTTTTCTTTTTGAATGCCGTTGAGCAGACTATTCCCTACAGAATCGAATTGGGTTGCATTTTTGTTGGGTCTTTGTCGTTTCCGGTTATTTTAGTTATTAATTAGTGACTCTTCTAGGCATAAGTTTCCTTTGTTTTACTATTTTAATCTGTGCAGCCTTTACTTTAATGGCTAACACGTGGTTCTCTGTTTGTGCAAGGGGTACTGTGTCCCCTCTGCTGTTAGAGTTTAATTGATGTATGTATTGACAAGCCCAGTGTATTTTTCTTATTTTTGTGATAGAGTGTTTCCCTTTTACATTTTAGTGTCCTGAGAAAGCCTAAATAATTGGGCGAAAGCTGGACTTAACAATAAAAAGAGCAATGAGCATTTACATCTTTTATTGCTCCCTCTATATTAGTCAATATTGGGCGATCCCACAGTTATTTTGTGCAACAAGTTACCAGTAGCCCCTTACTGTATTTACTCTTTGCTTCTAGGAGTAAGAATGGGATAATTCTATCGGAGGATTGGAATCACATATGGCACTGACGTCGTGACTCCCAGATACCTACAAGATGGCACACAACAATTGTGGCGCATACTTCAACGACTGAACAACACTAACCATAGACAACTTGAATTTCTAGCACAAAAGGTAACTAAAAAAATGCACAACATGTCTACCGCAGATTGTGACCGGTTTATCAGACTTTCTACGTGGAAAGAACCTTCCTTTTAATATTTTAGATGATTTTTTATTCACACAGAACATTCAATTCAATTCGATTTTATTAAATTAAGGGGAATAATTTAAAAAAGATCAAAGGACTTAGGCAGGCCGAAGATTCATTTTCTTTGCCGATTATGTTAAATGGTTTAAGAACATTTCTAGCACAAAAAATACTTGCTGAAGTTTGTGGTTTTCTAGCCATTGAGACATTGAGAGACGGACAAGGGAATTTCTGAGCTAACTCTAACCTACCAATTACCAAGTCTGACAAGGGTCACGGTTGCCATGTCTAGAGAATCATATATACAAAAATCATTGGAACTCCTTGGAGATAATGCAACGTATATTCCAGTCCATAGAGACCCTACGTCCTCAACAAAAAATAAATGTAATACATTAGTGAAAAAAATTAAAGAACAAGGGTATATTGAAGAAGCCATCTCAAAAAAACTTATCACATAAAACCGTGTATGCCCAAAGTATTATGGCTTACCGAAAGTCCATAAAGAGGACTGCCCACTGTGTCCTATAGTGTCTTGTGTCGGAGAAACTACACAGCCATTGACATGTTTCGTTGGTCAGATTTTGAGCGCCTGAATTCAATAAATTTAGAATTAGAAACACGTTCGAATTTGACGAACTTGTTAACGGTGTTCAAATACCTCAGGGCTTTGTGCTTGCTTCTTTTGATGTGGTGTCTCTTTTTACGAATATCACCCTAGAATTAGTATTGGCAATTTTCGACGAGCATTTCAATTTGATTGAACCCAATTGTAATATTCAAAAGTCAAAAGTGCCGTAGTAACCGTGTTTCAAAAACTGTGGCTTAAAACTTTAAAACTTTTGAAATTTAATATGTTATAGTATTGCCATAGTGTTTTGTGAGAGGTCTCATCTTTCTATTTTAAATAACGACTAACATTCTTGCATGTAATCAATTCTTCTACCAACGAAAAATGCGAGAGTCTATAGAGATCTGTAAACAACTTAACAATCTTAACTCTCTACCTGAGTCGCGGTTTGAGCAGATTGCTATTCAAGAAAAGCCCTGTAGTGTTGGTTTAGGTGAAAAAATTTTGTGGGTCTGTGATCTAGTCGAATACTAAAATTATTGTCTGTGCGTTTTTCACCGTGGTTAAAGGTAAGTTCGAAGATAATGGTCGGTGGTGGGTTTTTTGCTTTTTATTCTTTGGTTTTGTAAGGTGGTGATTCTTTGATTTATCAAGTTTTCTTTATATGTGCCTGAAAATTTTTCCAACTGTCAAATTTGTCGTTTTTTTTTTTAAATGTCGTTGAGCAGATTATCACCAGACCACCAGACAGAATAGAATTGCGTTGCATTTTTGTTGGGTCTTTGTCGTTTACGGTTATTTGACTTATTGATTAGTGACTCGTTGTCTAGGCATAAGTTTCCTTTGTTTTACTATTTTAATCTGTGCAGCCTTTACTTTAATGGCTAACACGTGGTTCTCTGTTTGTGCAAGGGGTACTGTGCCCCCTCTGCTGTTAGAGTTTAATTACATTCTAGTGTCCCGAGGAAGCCTAAATACTTGGACGAAAGCTTGACTTAACAATAAAAAGCCACTATTCAATGAGCATTTACATCTTTTATTGATCCCTCTATATTAGTCAATATTGGGCGATCCCGTAGTTATTTTGTGCAACAAGTTACCAGTAGCCCCTAACTGTATTTACACTTTGCTTCTAGGAGTAAGAATGGGATAATTCTATCGTAGGATTGGAATCACATATGGCACTGACGTCGTGCCTCCCAGATATCTACAAGATGGCACACAACAACTGTGGCGCATACCTTCACAACTGAACACAAAAGGTAACTAAAAAAATGCACAACATGACACTTGAACGTACTTTGAGGCGACATACAGACTTTCTACGTGGAAAAAACCTTCCTTTTAATATTAGATGATTTTTTATTCACACCGAACATTCAATACAATTCGATTTTTAATAAAATTAAGGGGAATAATTTTAAAAAGATCAAAGGACTTAGGCAGGCCGAAGATTCATTTTCTTTGCCATTGAGCGCCTCTTTCGCTGAATTCAATAAATTTAGAATTAGAAACACATTCGAATTTGACGAACTTGTTAACGGTGTTCAAATACCTCAGGGCTTTGTGCTTGCTTCTTTTGATGTGGTGTCTCTTTTTACGAATATCACCCTAGAGTTAGTATTGGCAATTTTAGACGAGCATTTCAATTTGATTGAACCCAATTGTAATATTCCGAAAAAACAGTTTATTGATATGATTCGCTTCCTATATAGTAACACTTTTTTCACCTTTAACAACGATTACTATCAACAAATTAAGGGTCTGCCGATGGGTGGTGCCGCCTCCCTATTGATCGCGGAAATTGTGATGAATAAATTATTATATTTCATTGTAGATAAAGTTGATTATAAATTTCCACTTTTATGCCAATATGTGGATGATTTGTTTGATGTACTTCCCGAAAATTCACTGATTTTAGATTTCGGCGATCATATTGAGATAGACGAGTGCAATTTCATTTTCTGCACGTGGGTGCTTTGGAAATTCTGTTCCATCCTCATCGCGATCTATATAATACTGAGATTCACTTTACACTAAGTCAAGCATCAAACCCAAGCCAAATTGTAGATGGTTCCACGGCCCAACTGACAATTATTTAGTTAATATATTATGTAATACTCAATCGTTCTCATTGTCATAATAGAATTTGTTAGTTTAATTGATATAAATAAATGACAACGTAATGCCCGAATGACGTTTTAATTATTTACTGCCAAACAGGAAAAAGAAATAATAAAAGCTAGATTAGCGACTGTACCGTCGACATCGGGGATGTTAGATTGTGTTTCGTCTTCGTGCAAAGCATTTATGTCTATCTGCTGCGAAGTTTTCTTTTCATTTTTTGAATTTAATCTCGAAATCGAATTCCTCGAGATTAAGCCTCCAAAGAATAAGGCGATAATTGGGTTCTTTTAACTTTGACAGCCACACTAGTGGGTTATGGTCCGTTTCGATGACAAACTTTTGACCGTATAGATAGGTACGACTATAACCAGATTATTCATTCCACAAGCGCTTATTCTCCTTTTTCTATAGATGTAGCATTTTTACGGAAACATTTTTTTCAAAACATGTCCAGACCTCGTTAAATTTTCTAGGAAAACGAGTTAAATGTGTAGAAATCGCTGTTTTAAAAACATTTTTTGCGTCAATGAAAGCATCAATCTCTTGGCGACAATTTCATTTGCTGTCTTGCCCAACTCTACCATACAGTCTTTGGAAATAGTCAAAAAATCGCTGCTCGTATAACAAAATCATCCTAGCAGAAGAGTAAGTGAACACTCTGATGAGACGTCCGTTTTAACTGGCTGATGCGTGAACTGCCAGACTCGTAAGTCGAAACGGGCTTCGGCCATGGCACTAGTCGACTCTCCGATAAACTTGTTTAAGGTGCCAACATCAACACACTCGAAACACAATTGTTCACATAAAACCTTTCGGACAACTCCCCTCCCATCTTTCCAGACAACGAGATATAAAATATGGTAGCCCCTAACAAAAAAGGACCATTGTTGACTCCAAAAACAAATCGTCTGTAAATTTTTTTGCGGCCCTCTGAAGAAGCGAAGGTAGTCTCTGTCATCTTGATGAACACATGCCTTACAAATGTCCGCTTTTAACCTGATTTGGCACTGTCTGAACCTGAGTAAGATGTCCGGAATTAGCTCAATTAAGTTCACCTTCTTATCAAGGCATTGCTTCAACGAAGGACTTTTCTTCCCTTTGGCTGAATCGTCAAAAACGGGTCGTATCTTGATGAAATCGATTTTTTTCGAAGGTATACGCGCTTGGCAACGTAACTCATATCTCGGCAACGTTTGGTTTACAAATGATCAGCGTAGAAAAAAAGTTTTTATTGTCTGTTTGCCCGTTCTCTGTTATTCGTTCTGTGTGGACGCTTCCTAAAAACGCGAATAACTTCAGAACCGGCCACGAGATATTGGCGTCTGTCTTTTTTTTGCAATTTTCTTCTGTTTTTCGTACATCGCTATGAAACACGATAAGTGTCCGAGATTTGCAGCTATTTCAATATTGGCCCCCATATAGAGTTTAGTACCCTAATGCGACTTAGTGAAATTTGGAGGGGGCGGGGGCTAGGGGGTCGGTAAATATTTTTAAAAAATTAAAAACAGTATAGATGATCGAAAAAATTCTTGACCCAGAAGACGTATGAGGTGGTGAAAATTATTTATTCTTGATGATTTATTAAAAATGGATAGGGTGCGCCGGCAAATTGCAAAAAACTGAAAATTAGGTTCCCCTTATATGGACAATTGACCATAACTAAAAGGCTGGTTTTTTCTTCTAGAAAAAACAAAATTTCTTGAAAACTATTAACTTGATCGGCCAAATTATTTTAATAAGAGACGCGGAAGATTCGGTACTATAACTTTAATTTCAAACATTTTTTGATTATGTACAGTGTTTTTTAATTATAGACAAAAATTCTTTTTGTCATTAAATTATTAGATATAAAACAAAATTCGTCAAAAATATGGTCAATTGGTTTAAACAGTGTTACAGGTCACATCGACAGCTACAACTTTTGTATTTACAGTTTTCGTCACATACACTGTTCGAGATATTTGAAAACATCCAAATGAAAATCACTATTTCACGCTGTCAATCTAAACGCGATGACGTCATTTACTATTACTACGTACTGCATCTTCCAGGGCTATTACCTCTATATCGAACATTGTTTAAATTATGTGCCGGGTGTGTCGTTTATGGACAAAAAATCTAAAATAACCTAAAAATTTCCGTTTTTTTGGATAAATTATTGGGGATAAATGAAAAACTTCTGAAGATCCCTTAATTTGATTTGAACAGTATCGTAGACTGTGTCGAGAAAGAGTTTCAGATTTCGTCAATTCTACAGGGCGCGCGAGATATTTGAAAAAATATCATTCGACAACGCCATTATTTGTACAAATTTTGATATTTAACAAAGTTTGCCGTGACTTTAAGTTCTGCGAGACGTGAAAGACACTTTATACAGGATACAATGCGTCCCTGTAGGACAAGCGGCTTCATTTTGAAATACAAAGCTGCTTCGCCCTATGAGATACGAACTTGTTTTATTACAGGCCTGTTAGGCAAATAATGTTTTTACATATTTAGTTGTGGAGTTTCCCCTATCGAGTAGGAGGCTGGGACTGCCCACGTGCGGGTGTTGAGTGCGAGTACTGAGCCAACATTCCACCTTGGCTTGGTTCCCGGAACATTAACAGACAGCTGTGTAATGTTCGGAACAGCTTAAGGTTTTTGTAACTTCAGTGGCCTGTTCTTGCAGCCTTGTTTTGCACCGCCAAAACTTGAAAGTGAGATTTGACACTTACACCTACCACCAGGTTCGAGGGAATAAATTATTGTTTGCGATTCACTTGTTTATTTCCTTCACGGGTGGAACTTCGGGTTGTTAAGTTTAGCTTTTTGAATCACGTGGCGCCTACCTACCACCTTCTGGGACTGACCGAGGTGCCCTTTACCGTCTTCCAACTTGGGCTTCTATTTAGTAATTTTTTTTTACCTTATTAATTTTTCTTTTTTGTTAGTGAACTAGCCTGGGCAGTGTCTTACCCTGAGATCGAGAGGTAAGATGATACAAAGAAAATTGCAGACAGCAATTCCCTATTAAAAAAATGATTTTGCATCATCGCCATTTTCGATTGGGTTTGCAAAACAACAGTCCCGCAAATATGTATAAAACAAAGGGTTTTGCGGGAGCAGATCGGGTCTTGTTTCCAGAGAAGAGCTTTAACGGGTGTAACAATAACTTTGAAACAAAAAGAGGAACAAATTTTAAGCGACTGCGGTGAATTCATAAAAAGAAAAAACGACGGCCAAGACGTGACCGAAGTGAAATATGTTTCTACCGAAAATCGACTTAGGAACGAATTTAAACGAATCTGTGGTCTTTTTTTCCTGCAAAAGAACGTGGCCAACAATACTTACCGACTTCATATCCTTTTTTAAGAACGTATTATGAAATGACAACTGTCCAACGGCGGTGAATCTAAACCAAATTCATATATTTGATAAATCCAACGGAATTTGCCTAAATGTGTATGTTATAGAGTAAATTCAAAACCACAGTAAATGTTTTTATTCAGTGTTACCGGACCGTTTAACTAAAGACAAACGCGAAAAAAATGTCAATTTAATATTATTTTAAAATAAGCATTATACAAAAATTAATGATTTTGATCCGGTACCGACGACAAAGAAACTTCGCCATTTGTAATCTACGCCGATTTCGAAAGTCGACTTAAAGATCTAAATTTTATGATTTCAGACAAAATGAGAAATATGCATGAGGCATTATTGGTATTGGTATTGGTATTGGTATTAAAGGGGGGCGTCCAAGAACTTAGGCCACCAGACGGGCCCGTTGTGCCCCCAGGCCGCTCTAGAGGGCGTCCAGAATGCCGCCCCTCCTATAGAAGGTCAGCCCAATACCGTGCACTGAGTCCGGATCGATCAGGGCCGTTCCGAAAACTCCCAATCTTGCCCATGTCAAGGCAGGGCACTCAAGCAAGCAAGCAAAGATGCCTTCTAAGCCAGCAATGTCCTGTGTACGCCCCTGTTAGTGCTCTACACTCTCTTCTGGTCAGTCTAAGCAGCTCCCTGGTCCGAGGAAGGGCGGGCCCATCCATCATAAGCCTCGCCTGCCTCATTCCCCGAGCAACTCTCCAGCCCACCGCGGCCCGGTCTCTCGCCCAGGCTTCGAGAGCTCCCCGCCTCACACACGGGGCGATCCCCAACCGGGGCTCTGACCCTATATGCCTATGCGAGCAGCCCACTCTGGCTAAGGCCTCCGCTGCCTCATATGCATGAGGCATATAGTGAGTTTCCTCTGGCGACGATGTGTACTTGGGAACTTCATCTCTGCCATCGTCACTTCCATCGCTAGTATAGTCTCCGTTAGGGTCATCCAAGCAACAAGTCGCAGTAGCCGCGGCGGAAGGCTCGATCCCCAAACTCGGGAAATTTCCAACCATAATTCCAATGACCTTCACCAAGCTTCTGGCTTCTTTCACAAAAATTGAAGGGAATCGAGGCCTGACAATAGGAACCGATCGAAAACTAGCAAAACAAAATAACCCTAGGCACAATACCAACCTAACACTTCCAAACCAATACTTCAGAAAGCCGGAACCGAACTACTACGGACTTCGATAGAAAAATCTACTGCTTCGCTGTAAAGCAGCTTTGTATAACGTTAAAAAATGAAACCCATCAGAAATCAAATCCGAATTTGTAATTTTCGTGAGCTATGCAACCAGTATTTTACCAACCCACAGAAGCCGCGCTAAGCCAGTAATCGGCGTTAGCCACGTTGACTAAGGACTCTCGCCCAAATAATACGGCAGTAATAATCTTTAATAAATTAATATCTTAAATACGCCAATAAAGGGTAATAATAAAACGGAACCGTGACAAATTAAAACACAACGGGATAAAATTAAATTACACACAGATATTCCTCTCAATGAATTTTTAATGGCTTTAGATTTTACACTAAAATCCACATTTTTTCAATATAAAAACATGTTCTATAAACAAGTCGAAGGTTGTGCCACGGGTATGTCAATTTCAAGCATAGTTGCACAACTTGTTATGGAGTATCTAGAAGAAAATGTTATTAAAAACATTCAATTCAATTTAACTTTTTTAAATTTTAAACTAACAAAATTAAATTATCCAATATAATAAAAAACATCCGTACCTGTTTTGCATCCCACTCCAATCTGTATAAAATATTCGCTGACTTTTTTTTTTAATATATTAACACAACGTTAAATGTCATTAATTGTTATATATGTCACCTATACAAAATAAAAATATTTTGCAAAAGATCGAAATTACGATCGAAACATTAATAAATATTTAGAAGAATCACATTAATTGTTTTCGAGAGACCGAATACCCAAGAGAAATTGAAGAAAATATACACGCGACGGTCCAAGAAACTACGGCATATGGCAACATTGCCAAACACCTGTCAGCGAAGCGAAGGACGTAAACAATGCCGGCAAAGCAAATACTAAAAGTCTTCCACTTCTACGTCGAGAACCAGGAGATGTGTACAAATAACAGCCAGGTAAGTAATAAAATGCTCCCTCTATGCATAACAAACCAGATACAGGGAACAGCAACCAACTAACCTAAAACAACCACGAGCATGTCTTCTCTTAGAGCCTTGGATACCGATTTGATCACTCTCCTTTTAAGGAGCAACAACTAGAATAGAGACAGGCAATGCTACGGAGCCTCGAGTGCGAGGGATGTCGCAGGAATATACCAGGACGAACGAAAGCAATGGCTACAATGACCGTTACAACTCCGAGCAGCCTCTAGCCATCCAAGAAGTACTAAGGTCTCAATCTAAGGAAGTATGCAAACGTGTCTACATGCACTGGCGTGTAATACCGCCACAAGGCCAAAAAAGACGACGCAGGGGCATTATATACAGGGTTGGAAGAAGATAACCACCACTACACGGAATTTCCCAATACTACGTTAGAAATATTCTTTTAATGGCTTGTGCTAACTGTACCTGTAAATGCAATAAGATCCTAAATAAAAAATTGGCTGTTACTAAGGAGTTCTTTCCGTTCGAAAATTTTACCAGGGTTCTTGACGAATTGGCGGAAGCGCTAACGGTGAAGAATAGACCGTTACATATTTACCGACGGGACTCTTCTCCTACCTTTTGTAAACCAGGCGGCTTCACATTTATCAGCACACAGTGGGAGGTTGTTGTTCTCTAGTCAGTTCTGTAATGTTTTTAGAGCTCTATTAAGTTTGCTTACCAGTAACTCTATGTCTTTTCCTTCGCAGAACAGGACCCATTCAGCTATTATCTTGATTCGGGTTTAAAGGCCGTCGTCGATTGGAATTACTTCCTAACGTTTCGCTAGCACGAGTGGCGAGCTTCTTCAGAGGTCCTTCCAACTCCGATGTTGGACGTAGACTGACGATTTCTCCTGCGCAGGTTGTATTTATGCCGATTGGTGGTGGGCGGGGCTTGTTCCGCTTCGGTTGGTCTCGGGATATCGATCGGTACTGCTCGGGCGTTCCTAAGGATCGGGTTTCAGATTTGGTTGAGTCTAAGGGTCTCCTCCTTTCTGTTGAAATTGTGTGGATGTTTTTGTATCTCAATGGCTTCCCTGACTAGTCTGTTGTGATAGCCGTTACTCTGCCAATCCTGTTGGTGACACTCGGAATATACGGCAGATATGCGTGGGAGGTGAAGGGTCGTTGTTCGGTATCCCGTGATCTCGATGGTCTTGAGTTCATTGATCTTTCGATCTCCCTCTTGTTGTAGCCATTTCGCTGGAACGTAGTTTTTAGGTGTTCAAATTCCATCTGGAGGTTCTCCGGTTCGCAAATCCTTCGGGCTCGTTCTGTCAGGGTTCTGATAACCCCATACTTTTGACTTGGGTGATGGTTGGATAGAGCATGCAGGTATCTGTCCGTATGGGTTGGTTTTCTGTAAACTGTGTGGCCCAGCTTGTTACCTCGCTTCCTCACTAGTACGTCCAAGAATGCAAGTTGTTGGTCATTTTCAGTCTCCATAGTAAACTGGATGCTGGGATGTTGACTGTTGAGATGCTGCAGAAAGTTGTTGAGCTTGTCCATACCATGTTTCCAAATCATGAAGGTGTCATCCACGCACCGGAACCACTTTGCTGGCTTGTACTCTGAGGTCTCGATCGCTTTTTCCTCAAAATAAATAAGTTGGCTATAACCGGGTTTAATGGGCTTCCCATTGCCACTCCATCCACCTGTTCGTAGAAGTTTCCCTTAAACACAAAATAGCTACCGGTCAGACAGACTTCAAAAAGTCAGCAAATATCGACAGGAAATATCCAGTTCACCATGTCCAAGCAACTCTTCAGAGGTACTTTGGTAAACAGTGAGACGACGTCGAAGCTCACAAAGATGTCGTTTTGTTCAATATTGATATCTTGAATCTTGCGCATGAAGTCGGTGGAGTCCTTGATGTAACTGGTGCCGTGTCCTATGTGTGGTTGGAGCAGCGATGCCAAGTGTTTAACCAAGTAATACGTTGGTGATCCGGGTGCGCTAACTATTGGTCTTAACGGGACATCTTGAAAGTCGAGTTGAGTTTCTCTAAAAGCAAATTGAATTTTGTAAAATCCCACAAGTCGATATTGAATTTATCGATAGCTGCAAGATTCTCTGAAAATGTTGAAAGCAATCTCCTCAGTTCGACAACCGAGTCACTCTTCATAGTCCGAGCCCGTAAGATCGACAGCCAATAATCGGTTAACATCAATCGATCTTTTAATAACGCTTCACGAGAGCATTGTAAGCTATACTACCAATACGACCAAATAAGACAATAAAAATTGAAATTTTTCAATGTTTGAAAGGGAAGAATTATTATGGATTAAGGTGTTAAACATATCAAAAAATTAACCCTCTAACGAGGTCGGCGTGCCGAAAGGCACTGTGACGTCATAAAAATAACGATGGGTGCGAATACACACCTACACCTCACGTTCGACACAAGTAAGGTGACATTACACCTGTAATTAGCGACAGGTGTCACCTACACCTAACGGTTACCACAGGTTAGGTGACATTACACCTACACCTGTAATTAGCGACAGGTGTCACCTACACCTAACGGTTACCACAGGTCAGGTGACATTACACCTACACCTGTAATTAGCGACAGGTGAGACACCTTACTTTTTCAGCTGCTACGACCCCTTCTGGAGGGATGATGGTCACCTAGATATCATCCCCGTTCACAGTTAAGTGTGAAGTAAGAAGAAAAATTAAATCTCTACCGCAAGCACAAGGAGAATGGTTTGAGGCTTTTAAAGATGACAAAAAAAAATGGTAGTTTGTGGAGGGTCCAATTTAAAATACAATTTGGAAAAGCAGCTGACGCAATGCGAAGAAAATATACAGCAGCTCGAAACTCAGATAGCAGTTGTTCAGGCCGATCTTTAAGTACTGCGCTTACGTGCCGAAGAATACAAAGTAAAAAGCGGATATTTTCAAAATTTGGGTCTAGCAGATATTGTATAAAATTGTAAAAAATATTCAGAAACTGTAATGTGATAAAAAAATAAAATCCCAACAATATATTTCCAGTCATTTTATTTCAAATATTTGAGAGGACGCTTTTGGTCAGATCTTAATTATGTCTAAAAATAACTGCGGAACAGCTCTCGAACATGTTCAAAACGTCTAAAAGGTTTCGACAGATCCGAAACAGATATGACCCAGTAATGATAAGCATTTCCGGAGAAAATCTTAATTAACCGGAAGGAACGTACTCGAAAGTTTGCATTATTTTAACTTCGTTATCGGAGAAGGAAATGACGTTATTAACATGTGACCACCGCCACAGTCAGTCTTCATTCTTTGGATTTTTTTGTTTTCACCGCATAAAAATAGTAAGTGTTAAGTGATACTAGAACAGTTCGGGAGTGAGAGGCAAAAAAATAATGTTCGCCTGCGAATATTGCAACCGCTAGTTCAGCCGAAAAGACCAGCTCGCCAGGCACGGGCATTGTGACGTTTGCGGTGGGATATACGACGTCATCAACGCGAGAAATATGTGGTGTCCAATGGAGGAGACCCCGTATCATCCGCTCACCGAGGGACCTGTTTTGGCATGGGCAGGATTTGGAGTCTTCTGATCGATCCGGACTCAGTGCACGGTATTGGGCTAAAGGAGTTGTTGACCTATAGAAGGAGCGGTATTCTGGACGCCTTCTAGCGCGGTCTGAGGGCACAACGGACCCATGTGGTTTCCTAAGTGCTAGGACGCAGGGGTGCCACCCTTTAAGACCAATACCAAAGACCCGAAAAGACCCGCCGCCGTCCCTATTGCTGCTGACGAAGCCAAGCGCCCGAGACCTTACCTACCGGAAGGTAAGATTTTTTACATTTTCTTTACGAGACAGGTATTGGTCGACAACATCGAAAAAAGGTATTTTTAAAACTCCGATTTTTAGATTCGTTTCGAGTCATGGCGTCCAGCTTGGACAAATTGAGTCGAAATTTAAACGATAGAATTTCAACTTATTCGACAGAAGGGCGTCTTTCCCTATACATACCTCATTAGATTTCTTCAATGCTTTAGATTTTTTCAGCTATGTACGTCTTAGTCAATAAAATGTACTATGCCTATTGCTTATTTTTTCCGCCCCTCTGATTATATGAGCAGATACCGATAAAGGAGAGCTTTCCTCTTATCAGTTTAACGGATGTGCCTGCAGACAATACTTCCTCGCATAAACTATAGTTTCTATCTTAAAAAATTATTGACGTTTGCGGGTTATCTTTAATAATTTAATTATATGCGACCTGGACGACCCAATTGTCTCGCTGCGAACAAAAACAAACAGCGAGTAGCATTGAGAGATATTTATATAGATTATGCGCGGCCACGGTGACATAATAGTCTCGCTCCGCGTAACATCGTCGGCCAGGCTCGCCTCCCGCCAGTACCTTGCTCTCCTCAGTAAGACCAGGAACTTGTAATTTTTGCAACGCCGACGGTGTCTAAAAAAACAATTTTATCAAAAAATTGCATGTTTCACACTTTTGTGTCGCGTCAGAAATATGTGGAATATGAATTAGGCTGCTTTTCTATAAGTATAATAATTTTTATATTAACTTTAAGAATTTTATTTTTGTTTATCGTATGTGATGGGTTTTTACAAATTTACTTACATTTTTGTTGAACTTAAAATAATTAACTACAGAGGCTAAAAACTTCTATAAGTTCATTACTACCCATCACCGTGTTCGAATAATTATTAAAAATTACAATTTTTGAAATTATTACCTTGAATTACCTTACCAACATATTCCGATGTTTAAAAATTTTTACTGTTTAAAGTTAGAGTTTTGAGTTAGTATAAACATCTGCTGTACTGTTTTCCGAAATTAAATTCTCTACTTTCCTACAATCCTTTCCTAACTTTTTCCTTTATAAAATGGATATTTTGTTTTGGTTTTTGCTAAATATTTTACAATTCTATTTAAATTTAGTATGGCCTGATTATATGGTATGTTTTGTTTGGTAAATAGATCATGCTTTCCACAGCATCACAGTTTCTTTTGTTATGACCTACCTGTTTTTCTTCATAGGTATTGTAACTGGTTTGATCTTTTCCATACTAAATTGTTTCAAGACAATTTTGGTATATGTCATGTTATTGTCTATAACATTTTAAAATAACATACGCTGAATATACGTTTTTTTAACACCTTTATTTCCGTGACCTTCTACTACCATGGCTACCATAGAACAGAGTCCCGCGCGAACCATGGAATTTCCCTGGTAGCATCGGTTGCCTGATGGCACAGTATAACTTTCTTGATCTAGTTTTACCAAGATATGAAAATGCGTAAAAATAAACAAATTAATTTTTTTTTCAATTTTTTAGTTTTACTACGTTTACAACTCTACTCTCGAACGGAAGTGGAAGCGAATATTTATGCTGGAAACGAAAATTACGACTCCGAAGAAAAGGCAGTAGGAAGAAACAGGTCCTTAAAATTAGGGACCGAAATCTCCAAACCTGAGGTTCACAAAGTATACCCCTCCCTTTGTACGAGGGATAAATTTGATGCAGGAAGGAATAGGAAGGCCCAGACATTGGCCACATACAATAAAATCTAAATCCTAACCGTCGTACGGGAGTCTAAGCAAATATTTCTGCTGGAAACAAAAATTATCCACTTGATAGATATTATCCTCGATAAGTGAAAGTGTGTAAATTTCAATTAATGTAGGAAAAAATATTTTCAGTTTTTTAGTTTCCCTCAATAGCAACTCTCGTACGGGAGTGCAAACAAATATTTTTTAGATAGATAGTAGAAAGGAAGAAAGGTTTTTATATTTTGATATATAGGGAGGTGAAAAATAGTTTATATGTTAAGGTTTGTTTTAAAAATTTCCGCGGCCACTGATCATTCGGCGCTTTCCGTATTTTGGCTTCAACCGTTTTAAATTAACTTTTATATAAAAATTAAAAAACAATTTTATTATGTGAATTATATATTCAAGGCCCATGAAAGCCACTTGGGTAAAAATAAGTATAAAGTTAGTTTTGTTTGGTAAAAATTATACAATATAAACGAAATAAACATAGAGATCCAGTTACATAATTGTGAAGATATTTAAAAAAAAAAAGAAAAAATGATAATGCCAAATTCAACTATTAAGCAAATATTAAATTATATTTGAAACACATCACATTTGACTGTAATCCCTTCCGCTCTCTTCTGCAAACACACTTTCTGCTGACAAACTTATCTTTCCTAAAAAAACATATAGAAAATGCAATTAGAATTTCAAACTGGACTTCTTATTTTTTTATGTTCTGGCACTTTTCCGTTATAAATTTTATGACAAAATATTTTTACATCTATACCATATACTAATACGAAATAACACTTAATATTCATAATTTGACACTTTTATTACACAGCTATTTCTCCATCCTATGAGGAATATGCGTTATGTCCTGGACATTGCTTCAATTACTTATCAGCTTTGTTGCAAGCGCACGGAGATTGCATCAAAAGAAAATTTAAAAGTGTTTCTCAAACAATTGGGACTTGCACTTTATTAAATATCAAAAGTCTTTAACCAGTTCTATAGATATTTTTACAACTTTCTTGGTAGAATACGTTTTTGTAATCATTAACGTAAACTTGGTTTGAGAAAAAAGTATGTTTAAACAGAAAGAATAGAGAACTCCTACACTTCAAGGTTCCTAGACTACTACTACCACACTTATACTAATACTGTTTACATATGGGAAATTAACTAAAATGCTCATGACTAGTGCCCAGAAATGTATATGTCTAGAATTGACTTTTTTTGTATTTTGAATTAATATATTAATATTTTCACTTAACTAATTTTCATTTTGTTTAACTACACAATAATAACAGGTGTCGACAAACAACCTTTATAACACAGAAACAATGGAAATCAATAACACTCTTAGAAGTCATTTTTTTAATAAGATGGTCCCCTATGTTGCTAATTATACCCATAGAGTAACAGCAGGTACAGTAGTTAAACTTACGAGTTTAATATAGAGTAAATTTGTTGAAACTAAACAAGTAAAGACAAAAACAATTTACTCACCCAGTATTTTCTTTAACCATTCTCCAATTAAAATTTATCTTACATTTGCCCTTGTGACTAGTGTGTGGTTGACTAAGAAATATATTTACAAAAAAGCATATAATAAAAAAAGGACTTACACTTCACTAATCCCTCCAAATCTCTTTTCATGAACATCTCTTCTACAAGTACAACTTTTGCTGACAAACTTACTTTTCCTAAAAAGAAAAGTAGAAAAAAAGGATATAAGAAATGCAAACTCAATTTCAAAACAAAATTCTTACTTTTTTATATGTTTCTCTGGTATGTTTCCTTTAAAAATTTTAAGACATTTGCACTTCAAATTGATAATCTGTTTACTAAAAAATACTTTCATAATTATAACAGACACTAATACAAAATAACACTTAATTTTAGTCAAATTTATTATATCTTGAACATTGCTTGAATTACCTGTCAGCATTCTTGCAAGCCCACAGAGGTTGCATATCAAAGAAATTTAAAAGTGTTTCTTAAACAAATGGGACTTGCGCTTTATCAAACGTCAAAAGCCTTTATTGTAGATTATTTCACCAGTTCTATAGATATTTGCAGACAAACTGCTCAAAAGAGGTGGAAATGAAATATATATATATATATATATATATATATATATATATATATATATATATATATATATATATATATATATATATATATATATATATATATATATATATATATATATATATATATATATATATATATATATATATATATATATATATATTGGCCAATCAAAACTGACATGAAGTTGTCCAAATCGGTAAAATAGACATAAGTTGCTAACTGCCTCTTTTCATGCCATTCTACTTCTATTAGGGAGTATTTTCCAAAAAAAATGTATTGACAGAAAATTTGATTTTCCAGCCTCAGTATGTGGACAACATAATATAGCTCAAACATCCCAAAGCTTGCTTCAATCGCAAATACATTTTTCATAAATATAAACTTGGTTTGAAAAAAACAACAAACAAAACAAAGATTGTATTGGTTAGAACATAATTAAAGAGAACTCCTTCACCTAAAGATTTCTTGACTACCACTACACTTACTTAATGCTTACATATGGATAAGAAATATTTAGTAGTATTTTGCAAGTATTATGAGATGTTGCTCAGAACTATATGTGTTTAGAATTGACTTTTTGGTATTTTGTCTTAATATATTAATATTTTCAATTAACTAAATTTCAATGTGTTTTAATAGACAAAAATAACAAGTGTTGACAAACAAACCTTTTTAATAGAGAATTTAATGTAACTTTTTTAACAAGGTTGTCAGAGCATTCTACCATGTTGCTAAGTGGTTTATGAGCCATAGAGCAGTAGCGGGCACAGCAGTTAAGCTTAGAAATTTCATACGGAGTAAATTTGTGAAAACTAAACAAGTAATAACAAAAACTATTTACTCACCCAGTCTTTTCTTTAACCTATTAAAATGTATCTTACATTTGCACTTGGAACTAGTGTGTGGTTGACTAAAAAATACATTAACAAAAAAGCTTGCAATAAAGAAAAGCACTTACACTTCACTAATCCCTTTTAATATCTTTTCATGAAAATCTCTTCTACAAGCACAACTTTTGCTGACCAACTTATTTATCCTAAAAACAAAGGTAGAAATAAAGGGATATGGGAAATTTAATTCAATTTCAAAAGAAATTTCTTACTTTTTAGTATTTTCTTCTGGTGCTTTTCTTTTATAAATTTTGATACATTGGCATTTCCAGGTGGTATCCACTAAAATAAGACTTTAACTATAACAGCAGTAATCGGCACACTATATAAAAAACATACTTGTAATTTTCATCAGATACTTTTCCAATAATATAAATAACTTCGAAAATGTGGCAGTCTAATTGTCAAAGTAAATTTCCTTCTCTTGCCAAATTGCTTTTTTTTAAAATGTTGTGCAATTTCTTCTGTATCTTACAGATGTACACTAAGTGTGCTGAAGGTGAACAGGTTTTTTCAATTAAATAATTTTACTACACCTGTGCTTACAGAGATTACGAGTAGTGGTGTTGCCACACTTGCTCTTTTTCACTATCCTTGCGTCTACACCGGGATCGCAAGGATGGTGTCATTGCGTTGTTAGTGTTGTGTGAACCGTTCATTTTACGACAACCGAATCAATCAGTGATTGATTACGAAAAGGACGAATCTTTTTAATCGGATTCATTTGAATTTGAATTATTGTTGTGTCTACATTTTCTGTTTGAGCTATAATAATAGTTAGCTGTCTTCTGCTTTTTACTGCATCATCAATATAATTGATACGTATTGGGTTCGACGAGTAATACATTAATTTCTGTAAATTAAATACCTGACTGAAAATAGATAGTTCATTCAATATTCAATTCAACACATAAGTAAATCCACCAAGGATATCGCAACTCAATAATATACAAATATTATAACAATACTCAAATTCCTTTTCTATAGTCTGTTTCTGTCATTCTTTTCAATCTGTAACAATTCAAAAGAACCGTATTCCGCAAGACGAATTGACACAACTCTAGGCAAAGAAAAATAATACCTATGCTTGGTCACTGTATAAAAAGGAGTTTTTAATTGCAAGAAATCGGGCAGCAGACCAAGTCTGTATCAAAAGCGTCTAGTCTCTGCTGAGACATAATTGATAAACAGAATGTTTAGGTTAGAGCCAGCAATTTGTATAGAGATATCAAATTTAATAGTTTAAATGTTTAAAAGCCGGAATGCAATTAATTTTAGAAGGTAAATTCATAGGGTGGTGGGGTATCAAAACTCCTCAACGAATAGTTTTCCACGAGGTAAAATTGATTTAATATTTTATAATAGCTCAAAAGAGGCATTTTGCATGTTTATCGCAAAAAATGTCGCATTTTATATTATTATCCTTTGTAGGTTGTAGATTAATAGATATATGTAAATTTCAGTTATTGGAAAATAATATCTTAAATGTACAGAAACAAAATGTTAAGCATCAGGAAGGGACAACACAATCATAAACACTTGGAGGACCAACCACAAGGCGGAAATATTAAGAGTTGCAAGCATGTCTGAGAGAGAAAGGAACTTGAGGGAATTTATAGAATAGATCTGCTTCAAGGTAGATAAATTATTAGTATCGAGTATATAGGTATTAATAAATTTCAATTATGTTAATGTTATTTTAGAATATTCCTGTAGAACTAGAAGATTTAACTAGTGCTCTGGAAAAAGCAAGCTAGCGGCCTAGACATTAGTTTGATTATACAGTGTTGTCATTTTTCTCTCAAGCCTCTGTATGAAAGGATTCCAATTTGAGAAATGGGGATTAAACATGATTTTACATTTGTTGGTGATATTCTCTAAATTGCCACATATAGGCATAAAGATTTGATTGTTATTTTTTTGGTTTTTGATTTAGCATCTAACCTATTATTCTTTGGTAGAGTAATATACCAGGCTGAAGCTTGCTTAGATTTTCACCCATGCCAAATTGTAGAGGGTGCCACTACTCTAACTATCGCCCTATTTGGAGTCCGACTTAGTTCATACAACACTTTAAGGCCTCATCCAATAAAGACTTTGGAATACCAGAATCAACAATCTTTGTCCTAACTTTATCCAGTAAAGTTGTAACATACTGTAAAAGGTTTTTACCAGCTTCATATTTAGTTTTTAATGTTTTTATCATTAGGAGATGAGAATAATTATTTAATATAGTTGGAAAGTACTTTTTTCAGCGTAGTTAAACGTAAGTTCGAAGTTAAAGGTCGTTGGTGGGTTTTTTGCTTTTTATTTTTTGGTTTTGTAACGTGGTGAGTCTTTGGTTCTTTGATATGTCGTTTTCTTTATATGTGCCTGACCATTTTCCCAACTGTTAAATTTGTCTGTTTTTCTTTTTAAATGCCGTTGAGCAGATTATCCCCTACAGAATCGAATTGGGTTGCATTTTTGTTGGGTCTTTGTCGTTTCCGGTTATTTTACTTATTAATTAGTGACTCGTTGTCTAGGCATAAGTTTCCTTTGTTTTACTATTTTAATCTGTGCAGCCTTTACTTTAATGGCTAACACGTGGTTCTCTGTTTGTGCAAGGGGTACTGTGCCCCTCTGCTGATGTATGTATTGACAAGCCCAGTGAGTTTTTCTTATTTTTGTGATAGAGTGTTTCCCTTTTACATTTTAGTGTCCTGAGAAAGCCTAAATAATTGGGCGAAAGCTTGACTTAACAATAAAAAGAGCAATGAGCATTTACATCTTTTATTGCTCCCTCTATATTAGTCAATATTGGGCGATCCCGTAGTTATTTTGTGCAACAAGTTACCAGTAGCCCCTAACTGTATTTACACTTTGCTTCTAGGAGTAAGAATGGGATAATTCTATCGTAGGATTGGAATCACATATGGCACTGACGTCGTGACTCCCAGATACCTACAAGATGGCACACAACACTTGTGGCGCATACTTCAACGACTGAACAACACTAACCATAGACAACTTGAATTTCTAGCACAAAAGGTAATTAAAAAAATGCACAACATGTCTACCGCAGATTGTGACCGGTTTATCAGACTTTCTGAAAGCTAATTCTAACCTACTAACTACCAAGTCTGACAAGGGCAATGTCATGGTTACCATGTCTAGAGAATCATATATACAAAAATTATTGGAACTCCTAGGAGATAATGCCATGTATATTCCAGTCCATAGAGACCCTACATCGTCAACATCAGTGAAAAAAATTAAAGAACAAGCCCTAAGTATTATGGCTTACCGAAAATCCATTAAGAGGACTGCCCACTGTGTCCCATAGTGTCCTGTGTCGGAGAAACTACACAGCCATTGACATGTTTCGTTGGTCAGATTTTGAGCGCCTCTCGCTGAATTCAATAAATTTAGAATTAGAAACATGTTCGAATTTGACGAACTTGTTAACGGTGTTCAAATACCTCAGGGCTTTGTGCTTGCTTTTTACGAATATCACCCTAGAGTTAGTATTGGCAATTTTAGACGAGCATTTCAATTTGATTGAACCCAATTGTAATATTCCGAAAAAACAGTTTATTGATATGATTCGCTTCCTATATAGTAACACTTTTTTCACCTTTAACAACGATTACTATCAACAAATTAAGGTTTTTCGGATGGGTGGTGCCGCCTCCCTAGTGATCGCGGAAATTGTGATGAATAAATTATTATATTTCATTGTAGATAAAGTTGACTATAAATTTCCACTTTTATGCCAATATGTGGATGATTTGTTTGATGTACTTTCCGAAAATTCATTCAATGCAACACTTAACATTTTTAATTAATCCAATCCGTGTCTGGTGTTTACTGTGGAGACTGAATCTGCTCGTTCGGTGCCTTTCTTAGACTCAAAAGCTATTCGGACGATGGACAATGTCATTATTTTAGATTGGTATCGTAAAGAGTTCAGCTCTGGTAGATATATCCCCTTCTCTTCTCACCATCCCATGAACCAAAAAATCAATGCTCTTTTGGGTTTACAAGATCTGTCACCGTTCTTTCTAACTTTTTAACTTACTGTTATTGAGAACTCTTCTTGTGGACAATAAATATTCCATCAGGTTAATTAATAAACTTTTATTCTGTGAGGCCTACACTACAGGACCCTCCCCCCTCGTCATGTGCAGGAGGATTGGCTGACCAATTTAGAAGTTAAATTTGGTAAACTCATGTATATTAACTAATTAAGGCCATCAATTGTGCGGCTCTTTCAACCTTCAAATATGAAGATGGCAAAATATAATGGTAGATCGCTCAGATTATTCTATTCTCAACTAAAAGACACCACGCCAATAAATAGAAAGTCCTATGTCGTCTAAGGTTTTCAATGTGAATGTGAGAAACTTTACATAAGGCAAACATCCCAAATTAAAAAAAAAAAAAGAATTACAGTACATAAAAGTGACTGTTTCTTCAATAATACAAGCGTTTCCTCAATCACTTAATATTTATTGAATTTTTCTTTTCTATAAATGGACTGTATCTCACTTTGCGGCGACGTCGCGACCGATGCCGTGAACGTGTACCCCGTAACGCTACAAAATTGTTACTAGCCTAGCAGAAACGTAGACCTTGTCGGTTTGGCGTACAACGCCCTGTTGTCACATTGACTGAAATGTCCGGCATGTTTAAGATACACAAAATTAAAAAGAAATTTACATAATTTTGAACTCAACATACCCTCAGCCTTGAAAGAACCTTCTTTCAAAAAAAAAAACAACAAAACAAACATTTCTTGAAAATCAATTTGTCTTAGACAACCTTTGAAACCACTTGAACTGAGTTTTTTTCTCACCCACTTTCGTGAAACAATGGACACAATTTTGCGAATGAACGTTTGATGACACCTTCACTCGTTTTTACATCAGCCACCCGACTAATGTTGTCCTTTCCTGGGTATAACTGAACGATGCATCCCATTTTCCAACACAAGGGAGGCACATTTTCTTCTTTCACGATCACCAATGTCCCTTCCTGCAGACCAATTAACTCCTTCTGTCGCAATCAATGTCTTTAAACTGACATGATTATTACGCAAAAATTTTCCCAACTCTCTCAGTTCTGTCTAAGCACCCACAAAATTTTTACCATTGTCTGAAAACATTTTTTCTGGTTTGCCCCTCCTAGACACGAATCTCCTGAAAATTGCAACAAATGCTTGCGTAGACAGACTTGTTACAGCCTCTAAATGTATTGCACGTGTGCAAAAACAAATAAATAAACAAACATACCCCTGTGGTATTGAATGGAAATTGTGGGATCACTCGTGACTTAGGTAGGTCTCCCATCTGTATTTCAAAGAACCTAGGTTGAACCTTCGAACACACAACCCATTCATGCACCACCTTTCTCACAACATTTCTGCCCTTTAGTGGCCAATAAATTTCCCTTAATGAACTGAGCACTAATTGAGGGCCTTTGCGCAGTAATCTCAAATGCTCTGCCTTAACAATCAATTTTGTACATGGATGTTTTGGGTCTAACACAATTGGGAATTTTTTGTCATATTTAAATTCTGAAAGTGCTAGTCTTCCGCCTACTCTGATTAATCCGTTGGCGTCTAGAAACGGATTTAAATTTGACAACCAACCCTTTTTTATCTTCTCACCGGTATCCAAGATTTTCTGCTCATTTTCGAAACATTCATCGTGTGATAACTTTATTAACATTTTTTCAGACTCTTGGAGTTCCTTCACTGTCAAATTCTTTGATTCGTGACTATCCAATTTTCTGCAACGTGCCGTAAACCTTAAGCAATATGCAAATACACGTTTCAATTTTGTCCAACTGGAATATCTGGAAAAAATCTCTAGACTATTCTTCTCTGTATTCAAAAAAGCTTTTACTCGCTTCCTCCTTTCTGGAAGTTCCTCTAAAGGTACATTAACACCCTGATTTGGAAAGAAATCTTGTGACAACCATTGTGGACCTTCAAACCACAATTTATTTCCACACAACTTGGAAGGAAAAAGTCCCCGGGATACTAAGTCTGCGGAGTTTTCTTCTGACCGCACATAATGCCAATTGTCTTGATCCGTCATAGACTGAATTTGAGATACTCTATTTGCGACAAACGCTTGGAATTGATTTGCTGGTGCTTTTATCCAACTTAATGTTACTGTAGAATCGCTCCACAAAAACAGTTTCCTGAAATTTAACGTCATGGAAGTTTGTACTTCTTTTATCAACCTTGAAAGTAATAATGCACCTGACAATTCCAATTTCGGTATAGTTAGTGCCTTTATCGGGGCAACTTTACTTTTTGCACACAATAAGCGAACGACTACACTTCCATCTTTCGTGACACTTCTGACATAGACACATGCTCCAAACGCTTCTTGTGCAGCATCACAAAATCCATGAAGTTCGATGTCCTCTGCATTGTTGCTACCTACATGTCTTGGAATATGCAGCATGTTTAATTTCACCGTTTCCTGCTTAAATTGTTTCCACTCTTGGGCAATATTGGTCGGTACTTCATCGTCCCAATCCAACTTGAGAATCCACAATCTTTGTAAAATAATTTTGGGAATGACGACACATGGGCTGACTAACCCAAGTGGATCGAACAGCTGGGCAATTTCTGACAGAATCTTCCGTTTTGTGGTACTTGAATTACTTGAAAATTCCCTCACCCTGTAGGTAAAGATATCTGCCTGACAGTCCCAATACAATCCCAAAGTTTTGTGTTGATGCTCTCCTAGATTAAGAGTTTGTAATTATGCCTTGGGCCTTACTCCAAATTGTTCCAAGAACTCTTTCTTGTTCGAACTGAACTTTCTGAGCTCAACCCACCAGGATTTTAAAACCTCACAAACACCCTTACGTATCTGAAGTGCCTCTTGAATCGACGAGGCCCCTGATATCAAATCATCAACGTAGAAGTCCTTGCCAATTACCTTTGAAATCTGCGTTTGTTCGCAATTTTTTGCCAGTTCTAGCAAACACCTTACCGCTAAAAATGGAATTGAGGTTAATCCAAACGTCACCGTGTTTAAATTGTAGACCTTGACTTCTTCTGCTGGATTTTCTCTCCACAGTATCCTTTGTAAATGGCGTTGATCTTCCCTAACCCATACTTGTCGGTACATTTTGGCGATATCTGCGCAAAATGCTACTTCATGTTGTCTAAACCTCAACAAAATTGAAATGATATCCTCTTGAATTCTTGGCCCCGAAAATTGCAAATCGTTAAGTGACACACCCGAGTCTGATTGTGCAGAGCCGTCATACACAACCCTTAACCTTGTTGTAGAACTTCTTTCATTTTTCACAGCATGATGTGGTAAGTAATAACACCTTTCATTCGTGATGTCCTCACTTACTTGAGTCATGTGACCTACCTGTTCATACTCTCTCATGTATTCACAATAATCTACATGTAGTTGTTTGTCCCTGGCAAATTTCCTCTCCAAAGAGTAAAATCTCCTCAATGCCATCTCTCGAGAATCTCCCAACTTTTCAATACTCATTTTCAATGGGATTGCAACAACAAATCGACCATCCTCATCACGTCTTGTTGTTGACACAATCAAATTTTCACAATCAACTTCATCCCGTGTCATTCCCTCGATTTGACCTCCACCTGGCTCTTCTAGTTCCCAAAACTTGGCCAGTTGGTCTTGTACCTCTGTACCGATACTTAGGTTGCACACCGTTTTCTTAGATTTGACTAGATATCCTTGTCCACTGATGTAGCCCGCTACTACCCATCCTAACCAAGTGTTTTGTAAGACATGTTTGTTTTCCCCTAATTCGATTCTTCCTACTCTTATGAGTTTCCAGAACACACCTGCACCAATTAACATA